AGAAACCAGATTGAATATTGGAGAATGGGGACCTTAGTGTGGGATTTGTTGTACAAGATGTGCCTAAGAGAATGAAAAGGAAATGTGTGTGATCATGCATGTCCCTGCAATCAGAATAACAGCCACAGTCTTGTAAATTGCAAAAGAAAGCCTTCATTGTTGGAAGAATCATGCAACAGTATCAGGTTGCATTATGTTATCATGATAGTGGCAAATCAAGAATTACTTTCTTGGTCCCTGGTCATAGTGCCAGTTAAACCAAGGTTTCTGGGAGCTTGTCTGTTTACTCCACATAAACATGTCCTTCTTTTTCCACCCTTTCTAATATCCTTTTATTGTTTGTCTTCTAAGCTTTTGCATATTGAGATGGCCTTTGGGCCCAATATGGTTTCCCTGAACTTGATCCTTGTAAAATCATAGCCTGTGGTAATGTGGTGTGAACTTTACCATTTGAGTAGTTTAATTTTCTGCCAGGAGTGCAGATTGGCTGTTGTTCTCCAATTCACATCTTCCCTGCATTTCCTAATTCCTGCCCATGAAAATGCTGAAGCAATATTTTCCTGGAGAGCTTATACCTTGAAACAGCCACTTTGTTTTTCTTTTTTTGCATAGGATAATTTCTCAGATCTTTTTGTGTGTATAGGTTTCAAATTCATCTCTTGTTGTATTCTATAGTATTATCCACATCAAGAACATGTCTGATTGGATTCTTGTTTGACAATTTTTTTTTTTGCAGTATTCTGAACACCATGCAAATTATTCAATAAAGTCCCTTGATTAGGGCTTAAGTTAGGAACTTAAGAACAACATTAGTGTCAAAACAAACCATTTTGGTTTTATTCTGTCATCATTAAGACAAACTTATAGGCCAATGGATACTGTATACAACCAATAGATAATGGAATTAAATCTATTGGAACTGCTCATGGTTACCCTAAAATTGTCTTGAAGATGTTTCCACCTGTTAGAGAGAGGACCATTTCTTAGATATCATACTAGTGAGAGCTTAATCTTGGTACCTGTACCATTCATCACTTTTCTTGTTGTTCTACACTGTGATTGGCAAAACCTGGAGGTAAATGTTGCTGTTGAAATGGCAGTGCTTGCAGTTGACTAGCATCATTTTTTTTACCACTCAACAATTTATTTATGTATTTTGGGATAACAAAAGTCATTCATTAATTCCGAGCATGCTTAAGCATATCAAATCTCTGGGTAGCAAATTCCATAGGCTATTTGGCTAATTTTCACTGTGATCACAATTTTTTTTCCCCAGAAACTGATACTCATGTCAAATATTTTGGAAAAACAGCATTATGTTGTATGAGCCTCATAATGACCTATAAGAGATTCACTTTTTCCTTCCGGAGTGACCTTAAGGATCTATCACTTATGAAGAATGATGATAAGGTCATTTAGTCCAATATTGGTTGAGAAGTATATGAATCAAGAGCTCATAAGTTCGTCGGATCTCCCTTATCCTTAGAATTGCCTTTTAGAATTTACATATTCCCAAAGGTAAAAATCAAATGAGTACGCTCATCGTTTAAAATGGATAATTCTTCGTGAGCCTATGGGCCGCACCAATGATCGATCGATCAAATGGTCCCTTATTAGATTGGCGCTAGAAAGATTATCAACTAGTATGAATAATATACAAATTTCTTGTACTCGAAACGTGGAATTGTGTTCAACTGATGCTCTTTTTAAGCTGTCGGCAGAGATCCTGTGTGTTGGGATGCTTTTACACGTGAATATGTTGTCCACCAGGAATTGTATGTTTCTTATGCTTCTTGTGACAATGATCGCATTGGCTGCCGGAGTCATAGCGAATCGGAACCTGGTTTAAACGGGTCAGATCGACATGATCGCATGAAAAGCTCGATCCATAGACATCCATATCGTATGGACTGCTAATTATGTGGGGGCTGTCGTGCGACACTGGACCTTCGTTCCAGTCCAGCAGATCGGGACGCAGGCAATGGGTTTGTTGCCAAGAAAGAGACGAGTCATTCCTGTCCACCCAGCAGATACTGATTCGGTTGTCCGCAACCCTCGAGTCGTTGCTGTGATTCGATTCGCAACCCGGCCGACACGGAACCTGCTTCACTGAACGCTGGTTGATGTTGTGTCTCGATTTGTTGGTGGTGAGTCAAGTTAAATGTCGACGCTTGAAGTCTGTACCACCCCCAACTCTGTGGGAACCACGATGAGGAATAACAGAGAGAGCGCGAGAGGAAAAGGGTGTAGCTTGCTTCTACGCTGCATTAAAATTCACGAGCATGAGAACTAACGTGCCGAAGCGTAATCATGACACGTAAAACGTCTCTCTACGGTTGACCCGACCCACAACCCCAATTGAACCGGTGAAATTGGGCATCGGTTCGATGATATTAAATTATTTTTAATATGTAAATTATTATTATTTTGTTTTAATGTACGTACGGTGAAGAGAGTAAAAAACATTAGCTTGTAAATACAAGGGAGCAGCACCTCGTATTCCGGAATCTAAGCCCTAGTATTCCCTTCCCGTGACAGCGAGAGAGCGAAGAAAAGGGTCGAATCTTACAGTCCCCGTGGAGAACAGGCTGTTACACCGAAATTAGCAGTGACTGCAGTCGGAGGTTCCACTAGGAAGAAGAGGGGGAGCTCAAAAAGAGAGCAAGAGGAACATGGGGGAGGGCACCTCGGGGCGAAGAAAAAGGTCTACTCTTTTTTAAAGGGAAGGGTGGAAGAGAGATTTAAGGGGGATTGATGGAAGGGGACAAAGCAGCAGCAGCAGCAATCGATGAGGGTGAAGGGGATGGCGCTGGAAAAGAGGCGCCTTTGGGCGTGAAGTTGAGGAGAGCCATCTCCGCGAACAGGAGGGGCGGCCTTTGCACTCCGGTGCCGTCCTGGAAGCTGGAGGAGCCCGGACTGTCCGACCCCGACAAGGCCCAGCCGCACCGGCGGTCGGTCTCCGCTCGCAAGCTTGGCGCTGGCCTCTGGGAGATTCAGGACGTCCTGACGATGTCCGCGGCCGGCCGGCGAGGCGCCAGGATCCGCCGCCACCGTCGGGATGGGAAGGCGCTCGAGGACGGTATCGGTCCGTCGCATATACTCGGGCACGAAGATTTGGTAAGCTTTGAGTTCTTTAGGTATTGGCTGGCGGATTTCTTCGCTTTCTATTCTTGTAACTATTTCGTTTCGCCGGGATCCAATCTCTACCTTTTATCATTCCATATGACGTATGATTTTTCTTGTGCAAGGTGCAATTTCTTGATCAACTTGCCTTCTTGGAATGAGGTTTTCCATTGTTGGCTTGATTGTCGTAGATTTTCCTGTGGTTGTCCTCTTGCAGCTTTTGTCAAAGTTTATTACTTGGATTTTTGGCTAATGACAATCTGGTATTCCGGTAATGTATGCTAAAGAGTATTATCTCGTGACAGATGAAAATGTATGGGTTGGAACTAATGGGCTTCTCCTAGACATGCTTTTAATTCGTAATAAGAAGTGAAACTCTTTTGTTGATACTGATGAATATTGATTGGTGATTATAATCTACGTCCAAGTAGAGGTACAAATTGGATGTGTATAGGCAACATGTTGCAGCTAGAAGACAAGGAAAGATAAGGATTAGTCATCTGTTAGTTTCTGTTATTTATAGGCTAAACAATAGGATGTGAGAAGGAATTCATGATTCATTTATATGAAACTTTAGTTGCTGTGTAAAAAACTATATAGATGGCAATGAATCCGTACCATCGTCCATGGGCAGGCTATAAACCACATCCGCTTGTTGTCTAAAGAAAGATCCCTACAAGAAACACGAGCTTAAGCAGAACAAAGTAATCTTTCATGCAATTCCGCATTTGCGTCTCTTCTGGTCCTGTCAAATAATAGTGAAAAGATTATATATTTTCCTCATGCAAGTTGAAAGGCCTACAGTACAATCATGGGACTTATAGTCTCCTTGTTAAAGCAATAATGAATCTGCTATGTCAGGAAAAAATTATGTAGTGGTGACTTTTTCAAGTTATATGATGGTCAGGGTAATTAGGTTCAATTTTGGATGACACGAGCAGCTTTTGAATTTACCAAAGCTAGAAGTCAAAATTACCAAAGCTTTGGTAATTAACTTGATATAATTTACCAAGTTATATCATAAATTTCTTATGATGGTCAGGGTAATTAGGTCAACATTTATTTTGCTAGAAGTCAAAATACCATGGGTTTTTTTGTTTGCATGTTTTGGACTGTGTGTATTGATGCTAAGGTGATGGTTGTAAAATTAAAAGATACCAGTAAAGATTACTAGAAAACGTCGTAAAATGAAATGATAACCGGCAAATACTAGAAATTTCTTGTGCCATAAAAATTTCATCTTACCATGTTGTCATAGGTTTTATAAATTCTTTTGAACAAGAAACTAGCAATCACCATAATAGCGAAAAGGAAGAAATAAGTTCGATTAAACAAAAGTTTGGCTACTGCAGTTCCTTCTTAAGCAGTGTTGCATGGTGTTTGTGACAAGGAGATAAAGAGGAGTTTGTTCACACATGTGAATGAGGCTCTTGGAAATGTGGAGTTTGGGGAGGGTCAATGCAACAGTCAAAGAGAAACTTTAATAAATTATCTGTGATGCTTACTAGGACGAATATAAAATATTAGAAAACTACATCTTGCCATCTTGGAAACTAAAACAAGTTCCTAATTCTGGTATCATCATATTTGTTGATATTTCAAATTTATATGCAAGAGTTTGGTGAGTGGCTATACTATGGATTTGTACTCAGCACATGGATATGTATCTAATTTGATACGAGGAAGGATCCGAGAATATGTGTTGCATTGTTCATAATAATACCTTTTCTTAAGAACCATGGGGAAACCTATAAATCTTGAAGAGTTGTATAGTCAGGACTTACCTTGGATGGATGCCAAGTTTTAACAAAACCAAAATGGTAAGTTGCATTAATCTAAATAAGCTGTAATTTATTTGGCAAATTTTATTTTTTGACATGTCAAACCATGTACCTGATGTCCTAAAAAGTACTGGTTTTCTCCTTTATCACCTCTTATATAGGCATCTCCAGATGTTATGCATAACTTCCCAACTAATTTTTTATGGCGAAGTGCTTGGGACCTATGGACAGCAGGTATATATGCTATCCATATACTGGTGGGATGCTCGCTCAAATATTTCATGTGTTTTTTTTTTCCAAAAGATGTGTTTGTTTCTAAAGCACTGGCATCTTATGTTGTACTTTACCTTTTTTTGTGTTTCACATAATTTGTGAGTGCATGTTCTCAAGTTTTATTTTGCAATTTGTCATGGAACCTTTACTCCAAAATCTATCATCATCATCGAGATGACAACTATTTGTCAGTTGGTTATATATTTTTTACTTTTTCAAGCTCATTTAGACTTTGCACATTTTATCTGAAGTGACTTGTTATTCATGTTGAGACATCTTCAGTTTGTGTGAGTTTGTCTGATTTCTCATGCCAGCCTCAGAGTGTAGGCAGTTTGAGGAGGCATGTTGAAGCTTCATCGATCAAGCATCAGCATTTGCATGAAGGGAACAGTCATAATTTGCAACCTGTTTCTCCTGCAAGTTATACGAGTTCATATAAGGTAATGTTTGTTTTGGCTTTATAGCTTGTTTGCTTAACTCCATGGGGCCTTTTTTTCGCGAGATTTCATTGCTTGAAACTATCTTCGGTTAATTGAATAGTTAAAGGACTCATCTTGGTGAATGAGGCAAGCCATAGTTTGTACACAATGGAATTCTTAATACAAACATTGATCTGTCAGCTTTTAAATGTATATGCATTACTAAATGTTCTTTATTCCAATAAGAATCTTTGTTCTGGCAGTTTAGTCAATGTTCTTAGTTGGGAGAGTACGGTTTCATTGTTGTTGTACTACTATTAACTTTCTTGTTCTTTGGTCATGTCACTGGCAGATTGCTCCATTTAACCTAGCCATCACTCATAGCAGTGCTACTGATCTCAAGGATAAGTTTGGAGATGCAGGATATGGTTTGAGAACATCAACAGAACTCTTGAAAGTATTGAATCACATTTGGAGCCTTGAAGAACACAATGAGTCCAATGCGTCATTGGTGAAAGCACTGAAGGGGGAGTTGGAACATGCAAGAGCACGAATTCAGGAGCTGATGCAAGAGCAGCATGCATATCGTGGTGAAATGGATCATTTAATGAAGCAAGTTACTGAGGATAAAATAATTAGGAAGGAGAAAGAGCAACAGCGGATCAAAGCTGTAGTGCAGTCAATAAGGGATGAGCTTGAAGATGAGAGACGGCTAAGAAAACGCTCTGAAAGTCTGCATAGAAAACTAGGTAAAGAATTGTCTGAAGCAAAAGCAGCATTTATGAAGGCTGCAAAAGATCTAGAAAATGTGAGAAAAACAAATGGCCTTCTGGAGGATCTCTGCGATGAGTTTGCTAAGGGAATCAGGGATTATGAACATGAAGTGAGGCAGTTGAAGCAAAGGTCTGTAAAAGTTTGCGATCACAAAGTTGATCGGTTGGTACTTCATATTTCAGAGGCATGGCTGGATGAGAGAGAGCAGATGAATATCGCTGAAGCTCGAGGAGATATTGCTAATAAAACCATGGTTGCAGATAGATTACGAAGTGAAATTGAAGCCTTCATTCAAGCTAGTAGGTCATCTGTCTCTAATAATGGTTATCTGTATGAGAACCATGAAAAGAGAGAGATCAATTTGCGGCGGCAGTCACTTGAGTCTGTCCACTTAAATGGTGCTGCTAGTGCACCGCAAGATGCTGATGATGATGATGATTCTGTTGCAAGTGATTTGCACTGCTTTGAACTAAATATGGGTGCAAGTAACACTGTCAGCATTGACCAGCAACAGCGGAATGGTCATAATGTTGTAGAAAAGTTTGATTCTTCCAGAACCAAAAGGTCTACTTTCTCAGTCGAAGAGAGGGGATCTTCTGAAAAGAGCAAGAATCAGATTTCATCTAGCTTGCATTTGAAGTGCAGGGAAGAAAAGGATGAAACTAAGTCATGTGGAAGCCAAATGCAGCTGTCAAACAGAACACAAGGAAAGCATCCGGACAGCAATCCTGAATCTGAAGGAAGAGTAGCTGATCATATCAGAATTAATAAACCTCAAGTTTTTAGTCACTTCCATGCGCTTGAAGTTTCACAGGACATGAAAATGAAGTGGGATAATGGGCGTCGTCTAGACCACCTGATTGCTAATTCTGTGAACAATGTTGCAGAAAATTCCGAGTGTTGTAAAGTCGATCATAATATATCTCATGGAGACGAGCACCATAGTCATTCCTCGTCGAAGGATCATTTTCTTGTAGCAAGTGAGGGCATTGCTTCAGGACATTTCCGAAACACAAGTTCAAATCTAAATTGTATTGAGCAACACAAGTCTCCAGATGTTGATATATCTCGATCCTCATCAAAATTAGCAGAAGGTGTAAAAGAGAATACATTGAAGGCGAGATTGCTTGAAGCAAGGTTAGAGGGACAGCAAGCTCGTCTGAAAGCATCAGACAATGAAAAGAAGCAAGTGATGCCGATACGCAGGTACTTTGGAGAGTGAAGGATGCAGACTGGTTTGTCTCTCACTAAACCATCCATTCCTCTATAAATTTTGTATTTCACTCAGATGTTCATGTGCGCTAGTTACGGCCTATGTAATGAATATCTTGATTGTTCATAGTAATGCTAGAAAGTTTTTTTGTACCTTTTACCACCGACTTGTTTTCTTTTTAAACCACAACATAATCATGCATTATATTGTTCATAGTAATTTTGTTTGAAGAGGATGGTTTGAAATCTCTTTTATGATAACTATGAATTTCAAAACTTTAGCTCCTGCTATGCTTAACAATCTGTAAACTTGAGAATTTATCTGAGTAAAAACCCATTAAAAGGGTATATTTGATTCTTGCCTTCCTTGTCGACATGACTGTTGTAAAATGGTGTGTTTCATGTTATAGCTTTCAGTGGATTTCCGTGATCGAAGCATATCAATACGTAATTTGTAGCATACTTAAAAGAGTGTGATCAACCTTTTGGCATGATAAAGAGAAGCTGCATTTGCTTTGAAAGAAACACCCTAATTCAGAACGAGTGTGATCGATTCGCAATTCACCAGCTGCAGGGACCCACTGATTAGGTTCATTGAAATAGTTAAAATTTTAATATTATTTAAATTGGGAGAGATGGATGAGTGGATCAAAGTGAGGAGAGTTGGAATCCCTTTCTCTGCTCGCTCTGATTACTTGAAACATCTGATCTAAAAGGAAATGAATCTATGGAATAGATAAAGGCTGCAGAAATATGTATGATAAAGATTTGTTTCAATTGATTGGTCAAAAAAAGCAAGGAAACATATTAGAGAGAGATCATAAAACCAATTAGCAACAAAGCATTAAGTTTCTGTTCAGGGAGGATGGGATCTATTTGGTGGCCAAATTACCTGTGTAAACAACTCATTTTTCTTTCTGCATAAGGAGATACAGAGATATCGCGACAGAATCCGACTATTAATGATTAGGAAAGTGAAACACTCGGATACAATTGGTACCGAGCACTGAAGACATGTGAAGCCATGAGGTTTCTCATTTAGCAGCCTCGAAATCGACCATCATTTACGCGTATTAAGATCATCCTTGTGAAGACATGAGGTTTCTCATTTAGTAACTCTTCATGTTCACAAAGCAATCAAAACGACGAGCACCGAACAAAAGCCCTGCGACAAAACAAGTAGCCACTGAAGTGGAGGGTGCACACCACCCATGCCTGTCCTTAGATTGCCAACCAGCATCCACAGTCCATGGCCTAAATAGACCAACCCCAGCAAAGAGTTGAACACAGCAGCGGTTATTCGTAACGAAGAAGACAAACCGAAGAACGGTCGAGCATCGACTGATCTGCTTGAAACATTGCGTGCAAAGTTGAGCAGGAACGCGATGATGAGGATCGCATCGACAAAACTGACGAACATGTGGTTCATGCATGAAGAAGAGTAGAATAGTTCGCCAAATCCACGAGAACCGCCATCTTGATCAGCACAAGCAGAATCACCACAGAAGGCCATCCAAGCATCTAACCATGAGAAGGATCTCGGTGTCTCAGTAGAGCAGAAAAACAAAAGATTTGAGGATAGAGTACAGATTTGGGGACTGTTCCTGCAAGGGCAGCCATGGGTTGTGAACTCTGTCACAGTCTTCTTGCTTCTTGGATAAATTATTGTTTCTTGTACGTCCAAAATTCTCGAGTGACCTGTACCTTCTCATTTCCCCTGTTGTGCGACACATGCTTATTATTGGTGTATATGCGTTCGTAGAATATGGCATCATCTACGAGCATAGATCTTCAACAGCAGCCAAATCCGCAAATTTAATGAGCCCGTAGTAATCATTTATGATATCAAGATAGGTAGAAAACGTTCTCGCAAATGGTAGCTGATAAGGCATATTTTGGGCCTCAATCATGTCACCACCAATATCGCATCACGCCCTTGTCGAATCAGGAGGAGTATTTGTACGCGCCAAGATATGATCCGTACTAAGACGCTTCTCGGTACATCCCATCCCAAAAAGCTCGGGATGGCATCGCATGGAGTCGTTCCGTGCATTCCGGGACGACGACTGCACGAAGGTACCACCTCGCCACTCGGGGAACGATTGCCGTGCCAAACCCCCATACAGCTGATCCTCATATAGTAATATAAAAGCCCCTAACCGGCATCCGACCAGAGGGAGAAAAAAAGAGAAAACCAACCACTAACTTAGTCATCGAGGGGCTGTCGCCCCGGAAGTGCGACTACCCCAACCGAGAGACGCCTTTTCCATAGACGATGCTAGTGTCCTGACCGAGAGACCCCTCCCCGAAGACAATGCTAGTGTCCCAATCGAGAGGTGCTTCCCCTTAGACGACGTCGGCATCTCGACTTGCGGACGTAATCAGCCAAGGTGTCTCTCCGAATCGATCGGGAACTCCCGACATCGACTCGTGGACCAAGCCGTGCCGACTCATCAGCCACGGCGCATCAGTTCACCAATAGTAGCCAACGGTAATCATTTAAGCTTTGACTCTTACTTTGACTAGTTCATCAATAAGTATGAAATATTATGAGAGCTTAAGCTTATGGTTGATTTTTTTATTGCCTACTAAAAGTATTAGTTTAACTTCTTATCGTCTCTTTATCCTTTCTATCGGTTTCCTCATCAATTTTTTTTAACCCACTAACCTAATTTAAGTACCAACCTTTGGTACCAAAGTAGATCTGATTAGGACATTATAGATTTGCCTCCTCTCCTTAGCCAACTTACAATAAGGACTCATGTATCAATATCTAAGCAACCTAAGTTAATAGAAAGGATGTCCAAATTATCGTCCTTGATGATCTTCATACGCGATAAACTCTAACTTTTTTATTTATTTTTTAAATAATACTTTTACAAATCAAGTTTTTCTCACCTTCTTTCTCTCTCCATTTCTCTTTTTTCTATTTATTATCTGCCCATCATTTTTCTCTTCATATTAAGCATCTATTTATTAGAGTCGGTTCCCACCATATATAACAGAAGCGATCAACCTTAAAAGTGTTTTTTGACTGATAGATAAATAGACAAATTTTTGTGTAGTCTTAGTAAAAGGTTTGAGTCTTGAACATAAATTATTTGACATCAAAATTTACCTAAATATCTTATCTACTATCATAACTTCCTTAACTAAGGGACAATATGCTGAGAATGTTGAAACTTGAAAGGTTCAGATGAAGAGTTGGACCAAGAGCAAAATCATACTAAAAAAAAACACAATTCTATAGATTATTATAAAAATTATTCACAACATTTGGATGTTCCATCACTTGCATCATTAGGACACATATACAACTTGGATATGCATGAACTATCAAAATCGCTTCCGGTCACGATAGATAGATAGATAGATAGATAGATAGATAGATAGATATAATCCTAAAAAGACTAATGATGAGATCAAGAAAAATGATCAAAGTAGAAACACCCTGGTTTAATGACAGATTGGACCGTATATATTGATTGGTTGTTTGACATTGATGATCATATCTGATACAACAATTGTTAACGAGCACTAAAGATCACAAAGTTGCCCTGAAATCGACCATCATTTACATGCATTAACAACTTTGTGACACCATGGGGTTTCACGTTTACGACTCTTGATGTTCCCAAAGCAGTCAAACCAACGAGACAAGATGTTACATCTCGATATAAATTTGCACGTCTCTTTTAGCTATATCCAGTGGAGGAAGCTGAGAGTCACGAAGGGATTCGGATTCTTCAGTGCGAGTCCGTGAATTGGATGGTTGCATTTGCAGCATGTGACCAGTACTCCTTGACGAGCGACCCGAAGAGCGATCCCTCTCTTTCCATCAGTTTCATGGGTTCATCATACTCCTCCAATTTTCCTGAACCAACAGAAGAAACAGGTGTTTATCAACACTCGTTTAAGCTGCTCTTCTGCCATCTCTACGCTGTTGTTCTACGTGATAACAACAGTTGGGGTTGGATGAGCAAATGCAGAAAGGACTCACCATCACTGATAGCAAGCACCATGTTGCAGTCCATCACAGTTGGGATGCGATGAGCAACCGTGATGACTGTGCAATCTGCAAACTCGGTTCTTATGGTCTTCTGAAGAATGGCATCGGTGGCATTGTCGATGGATGCCGTGGCTTCATCGAGCACTAGTATGCGACTCCTCCTTAGAAGTGCACGTCCCAGGCAAAACAATTGTCTTTGCCCCATGCTCCAATTCGATCCATCTTCAACCACTGCAGTGCAAGTAGGTCTCAAGCAAAATTAGTTAGTATCACGGTTCTATTACACAAAGAAAGAGACATCACATAGTGTTGCTGTGTCTTGCCTAGTGAATCCAACCCCTTGTGTTTCTCTTGAACAGCTTCCTGTAGCTGGCACTTGTCGAGAACCTTTAGGATTGTAAAGAAGACGGACTCAATCGACAATGTTTTCTCATAACCAGAATAAATTTTTGGTTCTCGCTGAGAAATTAATATTTTAGATATGATAGTATAGATCGAAAACCACTATATATATACCTCCCAGATCTGCTGATCCGTATACTGTCCCAAAGGATCCAAATTGTATCTGACAGAACCATGAAAGAGGGTTGGATCCTGAGGGATGATTCCGAGACGTGACCTCAGATCATGTAGCCCAATCGTGGCGATATCAAGAGCGTCAATGGTGATTCTTCCTCCTGCGGGCTCAACGAGACGAAACAATGCACCTATCAGAGTTGTCTTACCACTTCCCGTCCTTCCAACTATCCCAATCTTGTTGCCCCCTTCGAACGTACAGCTGATTCCGCGGAGTACAAGGGGTGCCTCAGGCCTGTATCTGATCTGTTTGTGGAGATTTAAGGGAACATTAATCTTACTCCATTCAAAATTAGAATCGAAGTAAATATTCCGAGAAAAAAGTGTGCTTTGTTGAAGTTTACCTTCAAATCACGAAGTTCTACTCTACCAATAGCGGGCCAATCGGATGGCGGCCGATTGCCTCGAACGATTTCTGGGGCCTCACTGCTGACATGCATGTATTGATTCAGCCTTTCTACTGATATGATGTGATTTGCTAGAGTGCACTGGTTTTGGATAGAGAAGACCAGCGACATGTTCAAAGAAAGACCATAAGACAGTGCCATTCCAACAAAACCTGTGCCAGAATTGAGGAATTAAACAACAGTTCATTTGGGTCCACTTACATCTATCTATCTACTCTCTAAAACGAAGAATCGATATTTCGCACAGATGTACATATGCTTACATGCAAATTGTTAGTTTCATCATGTGTGTTTTTCATAGTTCTAAGTCTGATCCCTCTAAGAACAAAGAGCTAAACAGTCCACAAAGACAACTGTATTGCTTGGTCACACAGGATTGAACAGTGTTAAAGATGAATGTTTCAGAGGGAATCCATAGGGAAATTGATGAAGTTAACTTAATTTTCACTTGATCAGATGTAACAATTTCCATTATTGTTAAAAGAAATTGATCTACTAAATTCTTGTATTTGCTGATCAGGAATATATAAATCATGATTTCACCACATATAGCAATGCACGACGAAGCAGTGAAGGACGATTTGTATTTGAATGCTTACCGGAGCTAAAAGTTCCTGGAGGAAGCAAAGCCATGATGAGTGCCGATGAAGAAACGATGGCAGCACTCATAGTCTCTAATCGTTGAATCAACCACTCACTGGCAGCAAAATTATGGAAGAAGGGACTCGCATTTTTGTCGATGAGCTCCAAACTTTTGGAAAAGAATCGATCTTCCTCCTCAAAAGCCCTTATTGTTGTTGCTCCAGATATGGACTCAGCCAGATGATTCGCCACCAGAGACTTTGTGGTTCCATTAATGCGCATCAACTCCTTAGCAGAAACCAAGTAGTACCTCTGCAGATCCAGCATACAACACAAGCATCGGTTACTCGGTCAAGATAGCAGTTAACATCCAAGAATCAGAAAACACAGTTGTGGAGATCACCTGCAATCGAATGGTGAGGTAGACCATTGGTATGGAAACAAATAAAACTGGCCATGTCACAAAAGCGAGTACTGCAAGATTGCTGTATGCGTTCAGTGTAGCACTGACGCTGAAGATGAAGCTAAATGGAACATCGAGATCAACCAGACTCAAGTCGGATGAAACCTGAGAGAGAAATATTAGCTCGATAAACGTGTGAATTTTCTTCATAATTAAAGGCTCCATATTACTACAGAAAGGAAGTTGAGTTTGATTCGGACATGCTTACCCGACTTAGAATCCTTCCAATGGGCGTGGAGTCGAAAAATGACATTGGAGCACGGAACAGCGAGTTCATGAGCTCGAAGAACAATGACTTGGAAGACTGGATACCGAGAACCACTACAAAAATGGATCTACTTAGCAAGAAGAGGACGGTGCTGAACCCAATTGACAAGTACACCACGATTAGTAGAAACATGCTGACTTGAGGATCTTGAACCTTGGCAGCCATCCATGAATTCTGCGAGATCTGGCCAGCTACAAAGATCAAATGAGAAAGAGCTGATATCGAGGCATACAGGTACCCCTTGTTCTGGCCCAGATACTGTTTGTAAGGCTTAAGACCCGTATCACCACTTTCTTTCTCCTCCTTCTTTATCAGTTGATCTCGTCCTGATGGTTTCACCATTTCTTGTTTCTTGCTACTGTTGATCTCTCTTGCAGATGTCTTGCTTTGTCTCTGCGAACCAACACCTTCGAGTCTTCCGGGACCGACCGTGTCCTTGTGTGCACTAACAAGGTCTTCAAATGCTTTGCTAGAAGCCAATAGCTCGTTGTAAGGAGCAGCACTACGAACTTCCCCATCCGACATCAACTGCCACAGGTAAACAGAGTATAAATAATGTTTAGCAAAGAGACATGACAGTGATGAATGCATAACACAATAAACTACGGAAGTTGTATGGCAGATAATTCAAAGACTAACCAAAATTGAGTCAAAAACTGGAAGGAAATCGACTTGGTGAGTGACCAGAAGAACTGTTTTCTCTGCCAGAGCACCCATAACATATTCCTTCGAGAAGAGAAAAAAAAACAGCACTAAACTTTCAGATCAAACAGGGAAATATATATCATTGACATAAGGTATTTAATGTAGAAGCCATTACATTAAATAGACTGGTAGCTGTGTGGGCATCAACAGCACTAAAAGGATCATCCAAGAGGTATATGTCAGCATCTTGATAGAGTGCACGGGCAAGTTGAATGCGCTGCTTCTGACCACCACTGAGATTGACACCTCTTTCTCCTATTTCAGTGAGATCTCCAAATGGCAGCATTTCGATATCCTTTACCAGAGAGCACTTTTCTAGTGTCCTCTGGTATTTTTGCTGATCCATAGCTGATCCGAACAGAATGTTGTCTTGTATGCTTCCTGTTTGTATCCATGCTGTTTGAGAAACATATGCAATTTTTCCTGAAACTTGAATCTGTTCATCCAAGATGAAAAAGAAGAGAAGAAGCAAAACCAGTTATAAATCACAAACAGCCAAAGAAAGAGCAAGAATTAGGATTGCAGTAGACGAGCAATGATGCAATAGTATGATTCGGTATCGACAAAAATTGAGTAGGATGAACAAGAACGTACCATTCCCTCTGTCTTTGGGATCTCTCTCAAAATAGCAGCCAAGAGAGTTGACTTTCCTGAGCCAACTTCACCGCAAATTGCCACCTTCTCCTTAGCCTTAACCACCAAGTTAATACCCCTAAGCGTTGGCTTCATCGTGTTCTCCTCCCAAGAAAAGCTTCCAGCCTCGATCGCAACTGGGTGCTCGACGTTGGCCTGGGAAAAGTTTCTTAGTTGGTGGCTTTGTAGCTCAGGTGCATCCAGAAACTTGAGTATTCGCGCAAAGGCAACCTTAGCTTGAATCACAACACCAATCACATCAGGTATTTGTCTCACTGGGTCTTGGACGAGACGCAACGTCGCCACAAAGGTGAAGACATTGCTAGGATTAAGAGGAATGTGAAGAAAATAGCATGTGGAAAACGCAGCCGCTGACACAAGTACAGGGGACGTCCAAAAGAGGAAGCTATTGTATGCTCTCCGAAGCTGAAATGCCGACAGCCACTTGCATTCGGTTTCCCTCAGACCTTCGATCACCTTCTTGAAGTGTGTTTCCCAAGCATACAGCTTCAGCACCTTCATGTTCACCAAGGCTTCTGATACAGCCTTCAGCCTGATATCCTGAGCTTCCATTAGCCTCGTCTGAAACTTATGTTGTAGCTTTGCCAGGGGAGCATTGCAAAGCACGGTGAGGACAATCACAACCATCGCCGAAATCGTTGCAAGGCCTACTGCATGGTAGAGAATTACCAAAGCAATGCAGAGTTGGAGGCTTGTAGTCCACGTTTGATGAAACCAAAATGGGAACTCCCCAATCCTATAGGCATCCACTGTAACATAGTTCATTATCTCCCCGGAGGAATGATCCAATTTAGCCGAGTTTGACAGCTTCAACTGCTTCTGATAAATAGCCGCTGATAACAAAGACCGCACTTGCAGTCCTATCCTTCTGGTGCGAAAGTACCACTGTCTTTGGGACAATGACTCCAAACATTTGGCCAAGAACATTCCAAAGGCCAGCACATAACCTTCGTGCTTGAAGACCTCGTTCCCTAATGACACCTTGATGAAGGCATTGAGAAGCAGTGGACCAGCCGATAGTGTCAGTATCTTAAGCAATGCGAAAAACCCAGACACTAAGATCTCCTTCTGAAAGCAAGAAACTATAGCCCACAATATCGAGGGCGAACTGGTTTGTCGCCTCTCCTTCTGTCTATTTAGCTGCTCCAGAAACAGCAAGTAACAAGTCTCAGCTCGATCTACCTTTCCAAGCTGAGGGATATCCTTTTCCTCCAGGGGCCTTTGATACCCCTTCTTCATCAAAGGGTTCAACCACCAGAATGACATCCTACTAAAGAATCCAGCTTTTGCGAAAGGAGTCACAGATTCATCTGAATTTTCTTCACTGGGGTTGGATTCACCTTTGAGAGGTTCATACAGAGATCCGTCAGCTGCTTCGTAACCATCTGCCTGGTACCCTTTAAAGGTGCAAAGTAGCAGCAGAACAGCTCCTGGTAAGGATAAGATATCCACACAAATCAGAAAAGATGCTTTTTTCTCTGCGAGGACCGCTAGAACGGACGAAAAGCATACAAATCCAGTGGAGAATGAAGCAGCGAGAGACCAGATCCTAATGAATGTGTGTCCAAATCGTGTGCGCCTGACGCTAACAATCAAAACGACGAGCACCGAACAAAAGCCCTGCGACAAAACAAGTAGCCACTGATGTGCAGGGTGCACACCATCCATGCCAGTCCTTTGATTGCCGACCAGCATCCACAATCCATGGCCCAAATAGACCAACCCCAGCAAAGAGTTGAACACAGCAGCGGTTATTCGTAACGAAGAAGACAGACCGAAGAGCGGTCGAGCGTCGACTGATCTGCTTGAGACTTTGCAGACAAAGTTGAGCAGGAACGCGATGATGAGGATCGCATCGACAAAACTGACGAACATGTGGTTCATGCATGAAGAAGAGTAGAATAGTTCGCCAAATCCGAAAGAACCGCCATCTTGATCGGCAGAAGCAGAATCACCACAGAAGGCCATCCAAGCATCTAGCCAAGAGAAAGAACTCAGTGGAGCAGAAAAATGCAAGAATTGATGCGAGAGTACAGGTCCGCGGACTTTACCTTCAAGAGCAACCATGGCGTGTGAAGTCTGTCACAGTCTTCTTGCTTCTTGGATCAATTATTGATTCTTATACAGCCAAAATCTTGGAGTCTCCACTACCTTGTCAGATACGTCGCAAGGCAGAGACCTTGCACCAAACATGGACGAACTCTACGTTCCCGAAATCATATGCACCAGTCGCATCAAGAGCAACAAAAGTGTATGATCCCAGAACAGCGGTAGCACAGAACGGAGCGGGCCTTCACAAGCATCACAAAAGGAAATCAAAACCGGAAATCACAGCAGGCAATCATGAACGCACGATCGAGGCAACTCCTCAGAATGCGATAATTCTCAAGACCAGAACATAGTGACAAAAGAAGAGACATCTTATCAAAAGAAAAGGCGAACGAAAACAAATCAGCCGGTGGCAACCGTGAACCGGTCACCGTGAAGGAAAGCGGCTCGCAGGATCTGTCAACGAACAATGATGGATCTTTAAAGGCCGGTTGTAGTCGGACCACGCTTTCTGCCTTGGATTGCCGTCACCTCTGACGTCTCGTGGACAGAAGGACCAAGATTTAACATCGCGGATCGAAGAAAGCAAATCCAGAAAGTAAACCTGTTTCTTCTTCGTCGTCGGAGGCGAAGGACGGATTGGTTACGTCTCTGTGCGATGCCGTTGCTTTAAAGAAGACTGGTTATCCGATGGCAAGAAAGAGCCCGGCGTCACTCCGGTTTGCAGGGGAGATCGGGACCTTCGGTGGTGTGTGTGTGTGTATGTGTGTGTGTGGCTGGAAGAAGAGGAGGAAACGAATGCGACGACTTCCCCCTTATTTTTCTCTTATAAAAGGTTTATATATATATCTCTCTTTTTTTATTACTGTTTTAGGTTTTTGTAAATGTTATACATAATAAGACAATACGACAGCCTTTTGTTTCGTTTGTTGCTCTGTCGATTTGGGTTTCCTGTAGCGGGTACACGTGGCGGGTTCCCTCTGGGGGAGACATGTGGGTCCAGCTATTTCTGGGAAAGTCCAGTGGTCCTGAGGACTGCCAGGAGTCGCTGTGCCTGCAGCCGACGCGTAGAACGCTGCGCACTTGGACGAATGTTGATGGCTTCCCATGCATGCAGAATCTGAATCGATTTATAATAATCAGGTGAGATTACTATAATAAAATTAGATTAATAATAATAAAAATTAATGGATCGATTATCTCATCGAATCGATCTCTAATAACGATTGGACGAGGATGTTAAGTGGGTAATAATACCTTAAGTTAGTTCTATAATAAAAATAAACTAAAACCCTCTAAAGCATTCAAATTTTATTATATTTACGGATAATAAATATCGATAAATTTTGAATATTGACTGGGGAATTTTTTTACTTTTTTTATTAAATATAAACACCCCCATATCTTTAAAAAAGAAAAAGTAATGATGTAGCTAAGTAGCGGTTGAATCTCGTATTTTGATGATGAAACCAACTGATGTGTATTTATGTTTTAATCTGTATTTTGAGTGACGTATGATGCTTCGATCAGGATGAGACAATTAAAGCAAGAAAAATCATGTTGAGAATGAGGAACATGTCAGAAGATTGGACGTCGGACCGGTGGATCGGTCGACGTATCGACAGAAGGCTTCGGGCCATAGATTCGGGCATCGGGCCAAGAAGAGAGGATATTGCGCCAAGGATATCGGAGTTGCGGAGTCAACTAGCCGATTGGGCAATAGGCCGCAAGAGAGGACGATGCGACGAAAAATTAGACGAAGCGTCGAGGGACCAATGACATACCGGACAACTTGATTAATGCTTAGTATTAATTTTCTAGATCGAAGTGTGTTTTTACATGTGCAGGATTAACTACGAGAGCAAGGCATGAAGCAAACTGAAGTCCCGGAGTCAAGGACGCGACATCATTGGGAGTTCGAGAGTTCGTCGAAAGTTCTGGCGGAACTAGCCGAGAAGTCGTGGAGCTTGCAAAGAAGCTCGTCGGAACTCGCCAAGAAGATCGTCGTGAAGTTTAGGAGCTTGCCGGGAGTTCGTCGGAACATTACCGAGAGATCGTCAAAAGTTCGCCGGAAGCTCGCTAGAAGAACCAAGACTTACGGACATGTTTAGCTTAGAATATGTCTTAGGAATCATAATTAGTACGTAATTGGGCTTGGATTTGGGCCAACCCAATTAAGGGCCATCTAGGCCCATGAAAGAATTGTGTTGGGCCCAATAAGAAGCCCAAACAGTGCCCCAAGAATTCTCACCATCGTGGCACAAAGAGTTTAAAAAGAAAGAAACGCTGAGTTTAAAAAGAAAGAAACGCTGCTAAAATCTTGTGTGATCTCCTCTCCCTCTTTTAAGTGTTGACTAGTTTGAGAGAGAAGTGAGTGAGTGCTTCTAAGGGTTGTCTCCTAAACCCGGTAAAAGGAGAAGAGGGGTGTATAAGGTGATTGGCCTTCGCCTATTGAAGGAAGGCATCTAGTGGACGTCGGTGATCTCATCGGAGGAGTTCGCCGAAAGTAGATGTAGGTCACGTAGACCGAACCACTGGTTTGTATTTTATTCTTGTCATTTACATACAGCAAACTACTTTACTTAGTCACTACGCTTTCATACGCTTCCAAGTTATTAAGCTTCCGAAATCGGTTTACGTCGGAAACAGTTTTATCGCAACGAAGTTTTTAAACCGACGATATTTGACCGCTGCACTAATTCACCCCCCCTCTTGGTGCCGACTCTAACGGTAGCTTCCTAATCTATTCATTTGGTTTTCATTTTATAATCTCTAGTTAATTACCTTTTCACTTGATAGAAAAAGCATTTGTAAGGTTTAGAAGTTCAAAATAAATTAAAATATGATATTTATGTATTCTCTTCCACCAAAAACATTTGTTTTTTTTAATAATAAAAAATAAAATAAAATAATTAGCGGCGATGACAATTGCGTGTTGGATGATTTGGACGTGAAAGAAATCGATTGAAAGATTGTTCTCTTCCCGGCATTGATTGATGAAATCGAGGCCATATGTATGTATTATTAATACATGCATAGATCCTACGTTAGTGGTGGATTGAATTGTCATGAAAACGAATCTTGATTGTGATGTATTATTCTATACGGATCCAATTGCGTTATATTCATAATATAACTGTTTGAAAAGTTCCTATGGTTAATTTAATCGCAATTGAAGTATTTTCTTGGATGCCTTTACAACCCCACACTTCTCACCACGCATGAAGAATACGATTAAAATGTTTTGGCTAATGTTGTAATGTTACGTGTGTGTCTTAAAATAATGTGGTGGAGATTGTGACATTCGAAATTATTGAATGTGAAGGATTTGATGGTCCCACCATTCGAGTAAGAGTGGATGCATCGATTACTTAGCCACATTGACAAATTCTATTGAATCAAAGTTGCCATTTTGGATCACGAGATTTTAGTTGTCATCTCGTTTAGTGGATCAAAGTCTTATCATTTGCATGCGAGGCTCCATTTTATATATATATATATATATATATATATATATATATATATATATATATAAAGGACCTTGTAGTGCTTCATGTCCCCTATTGTGTGACTCATGCTAATCATTAGTATATCTAGTGCTTCATGTCTCCTATGGAGGTAGAATATTGCATCAAAACCCACAAACTTTAGGATAGGGACTGTTTGTTATATGCATACTTAGATGTATCGAGACATCCAATTTATTAGTGTATTATTGTATAAGTGAGAAATTTAAGTGCATGCATGAAAAGTCATTTAATATAATTTAAAATAATAATCTTAAAAAAAGATAGATATGAAATGTTAGCCAGTGGTAATCATTTAATCATTGCATGACATTGTTGAATGATTCATGAGCATGGAAGATTTTGAAAGCTTGAGTTGTAGATGAGATTATCAAATCAGAAGGACTAAAAGCTTTGAGTTGCTCAGCAATTTTTCCGTAAAGCACTGATTTCAACCTAATCGAAGGTGACAAAGCTTTGGTTTAAGTAGAGATCTAAATAGGACATTATAGATTATATAGGGAGATGGTTTTCTACTCTTAGGAGAAGTCACACTACCTCAATAGGAAGTTATGTTATATAGGGAGATAGCTATGCTGTCTCCCTATATAACATAATTGTCTTTTAAGAGGGTAACTATTCATCACCTCAATTATTACATAGGTAGGTAGTTGCGCCACCGCCACCGAAGAAACAACTATGCCACGTTGATCTCACCTCGACAAACAATTGTGCCACTCCAATAATTGTCCTAACTATCCTAATCACTTACAATTAGCTTTCTCGACCTCCATCCTTTTGCATGATTCAAATGATGTTAATAGTACCATTTTGACTCACTCTAGTGTAACCACAAATCAAACTTTTTTGCAAAAAAAAAATAAAATAGAGATTCTTTTTATGTCTGTTTATGACATGGTAAAAAGAAAGTCACTTTTATCTCTCTCTCTCTCTAGAATTTGAGTCGAGTGCCTATTGCATTCTTTCTTTTTATAGCGAGCTACGTCAAAAGTTTGCATGGCATAAGTTTCACTACTTTAGTCGTATTGTCTTGTTTGTTATCTAATAGATAATTAGTTTCTGTAAATTATTGTCAAACCAATCACTCGATCAGACGTTAATGTGTCATTTCATCCATTTCGAAAATATAGCCTATTCGAGATGATAAAAAATACTTATTCTAAGTTTCAATAATAAAAACATAATTGTATTGAAAAAATCTAGAAATCAAGAATAATCAAACACAAAGTTAAGCAATAATCTTCAAATTTTACGTGGTTTGATAATTCTTGTCTAGTTCGAGTAGAAAATTTATTTTTTTATTATATTAGTTCTAGTAGAAATTTGTTTAGATTAAGTATGATTAAAATTGAATATATATAATTTAATCTTAGTGATTATAGAAATAAACAATAGAATATAATTAAATCAGAATGATTAAAAGCTTCTTTAAATAAAAGTTTTAAGTATCCGGAATCTGTTATTCAACGAGATGAAAAGATCGATGAAGATATTATTCATGGAGTAAAAACTAAATGGTTAATATGGTGATAGACATCAGAAATCTTGTGTGATCATCGAATACTTTTAAGATTACAGAAAAAAAAATTTATAATACAGTTATGAGACCAATAATAATTTATGAATTTAAATATTGGATAGTTAAGAAAAAATATATTAAAAAATTATGTTATTAAGATCAAAATATTAGATGGATGCATAAAGTTACTAGAAATAGAAAAAGAAATACTTTTATTTGTGAACAACTAAGTATCGTTTCGAGTAAAGATAAAAAGAAAAAAAATTATTTAAGATAATATGAGCATTTATTGAAGGGATCTCCGGATGAGATAATCATAAGAGGTAAAATAATTAATATTAGTGATACGAGAAAAGATTGAAAAAAACATAAAAGACTTAATAGATACTATAAATAAGGACTCGAGCACTTTAAACTTAACTAAACATATAAATTTTTAGAAATATCAACGACAACAAAAGACGCATATAATCAATTCTAAATAATTAATACTTATAATTTTATTATTATTGTTGTTGCTAGAAGATTTCTTCTCAACAATATGAATCCCCAACTTTGCGTTGACTTCACGAGCTAGCATCACAAGCCAAAATCAAATCTTGATATTTGGTGTTTCCTTTTTGTACACGAACATTTGTAAAATAATTTAAATCCTTTTATAACTCCAAACGATACATGTGAAGCGTAACTTTGTCTGTTGACTTGCAAGTGTAAGTTGGCGTACATCACATCGAGTAGAAAATTTGGACATTGTGATGGTAACATCTCACTAAGGCGAGGCGTAGTCCGGTCGAAAGAAAACATGAGGTCCCAAAGACACCACTCTCGCTCATCCAACAGTGATAGGGGAGGGGCCTTTTGTTCCGATTCGAAGTGTCATGTCAACCTCACCCAATCTTCTTAAGATGGCCACTGAGACAGATTTTGATTGGGACATCCAAATAATTCACTTTTGATTCATAGGTTGGGAAAATCAAAATCGTCGATTTCGTAAGTTTAAATTATTTGATATATATATATATATATATATATATATATATATGAGGTAAAGTCCAATAATAATTCAATGCTATGACATATCCAATGATTCTTTTCCTACCGATGGTTTTGATATCAATTATCATAATTTTTTATTGAGATAATTAATTCATTAACTTAATCTACTTTCAATGTCAACTAGATCAAGATATCACAATCTCTACCTTGTATAAGAGTGAGTGTACCAGAGAAAAGCTTGAACTTTAGTAGGAGGTAGGCTTAAACACAAATGAGGAACGAATACCTTAATTGGGCCTCCATAATTCGATAGCTTATAACAAAAAAATGGCAGTCAGTGAGAGTGACAGTGAAGACACCATGCACTCGTCATCTCCATTAAAGATTGGAAGGAAACGATTAAGTTCTAAATTGTAAAAGAAACAATCAAATCATTCATAGGGTATGTATGTTCAATTAAACTTTGTACTTTATCATCAGCCATCATCTTCTTTAAATTTATGCTCATATCATTTATTGTAGAGTCACCTTCAAGCTCATACCACTTCAAAGAAGACACTGTATACCACTATAAAAACTAAGTAACTTATCGTCACTCTTAGACCTGATAAGCTCTGATTTCTTGTTTGCACCTTCTTAAACACAAAAGCTAATTGCTGCTTAACCTATTGGCTGGAGATCACAAAGCTTGGAAAGAGGGAAGGGAGGATGAAAGATGGAACCTCCGAGTACAGCCCCGGTTACTCGTTTGTTTGCAGCTTCTGTGCCATGAATCCCATCCCAGCTCACGTAGTTTTGTGGATCTCCACAAGCAGTTGCAGTCACCTTGATGCCATTTATCACCTTGCTGTTTCCACAGAAAACCTGTGGGTCGAAGTTATAAGCACCACCTCCATGTCCGCAGCAAGCTTTGGTTCCGTGGATGAGTCCTGTATTTGTCACTAGTTAGGTCATGATCGGGAATGATGAACGAAGGATAGTGCCAATAAATTTGCATGGAGAAGGCAAAACTTAGATTCACGCGATGTTCGAGTTTAGATGTTCGAGTTCTTCCCAAGCCAAAGTCAATGGTGGACTATGTTCCTGTTTGCACGGTATTGAAGGGTGTGGGAACGACGGAAGTCTGCTAATCGTCATGTTGCTCGGAGAATTATGATCGAGTCGAGGCCAATAATGTTTCCGGAGAGGTTATTACCGTGGTTTTTGGGATGTCGAAAGAGCTCGAGCTTGACAGAGTGAGTATCTACATATATGATGGTGGCACCCGGAAGCATGTCTCTCATGTGTTGGAGAGTGTCATTCAACAGATTGTTGTAGTCGACGACGGCATTGTTGTAGGAAATCATGCAGCCGTATGAGTCTAAATCCGAAGTGTTATGAGGAAGCTCTGTCAGAAAAGCTGGGTAACATCCAACGGGGGCGAGGTTGAACACCATGAACGTCCGCCCTCCGATGTCATGGATCTCCTGCATAACACAGAAATGGCGAGTGAATCCGCTTCCTGCGGAACACAGATGACAGCAGCTTCCTGTTTCACCTTTATGGTCCAGGCAATCTGAGATGCGACCTGAGGAAGATACTGCTTGACTGCTCCGATGCCGAGAGATCCCAGTTCGGAGGTGAAGTCGTTCTGGCCGATGTCGAAGGTGTAGAGTGATTGACCGAAGACATTGCCAGGAGGAAGATGTTCTGAATCATGAACATGATCGATCTTAGAAGCTTTCCATGGCATGGTTAATTTTAGATCATTCAGTACTGTAAATCGTTTTCATGTTCACCAACAGGCTAAAATATTTGCTCCTCTGTCTGCATCATTCGACGACTAAAGAAACCATGAAACACACATGTAGAATGAGTGGCATTTTACCAGTTCCCTTCAGCGCAAGAACTCTGGTTCTGAGATCTTTCATTTGGTTGAGCTGAATCCCCAAGGAGAACGGGCTGATTCCGGTGACGAAGAGGGAGGTGTTGGGCAGCCGTACCGTCGAGGCCAACGTCGCGAAGTTGGCGCCGTGCCGGAAGTCCGAGCCGATGGACTGCAGGTAGGGGCTGAGGAACGGCAATCCGAGTGCCTGAGCTGCGCATTTCCAAGAAGCAGAGCCATCTTTCACCACCAAGCAAGAAAGAGAAACCATCGAAGCATGGTCAGTACCTAAGAAATCGATGAAGAGCCTGCCGTCGGAAGCGCGGCCGGACGGTCTTTTAAAGTAGGTCATGCCGAAGGGGCCGGTCTGCGCCGGGAACGCCGCCCAGAAGCCGCCGGTGTCGGAGTTGGAGTCCCCGAAGTTGAAGATCGCCGGGAACACGCATCTGGCTTCGCTGGCGGGGCCGGAACAGGCGAAGAACAGCAGGGCAAAGAACAAGAACGGCAATGGGGATACCTGCCGGCTTCCGGCAGGAGAAACGAGCGAGGGAGTGTTCCTACGCGCCATGGTGGGGGGGCAAAGAGGGAGGTGGTGAGAGAGGAGGGCGGGTTTTACGAGTCAGTGAGAAAGTGTCGGCGGATCATTGCCTGGACACTGACTTCGATGGAGGGATGTAAGGCATCGCAGCTGGGCAGACAAAGGTCATTGGGCCGCGGAGATGGGAAGAGAGAACATGGCGAGCGATGGGGCGCGTCATCGAGGGAATCAGACAAGATTTGACAGCTGGTGTGGACGCGTCATGGAGGGATCATCATCCTGCGGCTGGATTCGGTGTCGTGAGCCAGAAAGATCCAACGCGGGGGACGGTAAAGATAGTGATTCCACGGAAAACGGGAAAGAGCAGACGATTCAATGCTCTTCTCTTTAATGTCGAATATATTTCATTAATTTACATATATATTTTAGGTCGAATCTTTCCCCACAAAAAAAAAAAAAAAACCCTTCACTCTTTGACATTTTTGACAAGTATTTTTTTATTTATAGAATTTTTTAACTGTATTTCATTTTACTGTTGGTAATCCCTTAAAAAAAAATTAAGTATAATTTTATTATTTACACTATCTCAATTACCAATTTGATTCTTTTGTTTTTCACAAACCTTAATACCACTTATTGCTCATAGCTCGCTGATCGTGATGATGCCCTCTCAACATGGCTCATGATTAAAAGAATAATAATAATAATAATGAAAAGATGATCAGAGCATTTGCGTTTGTTCGATATCATTTGATGTTGTAGATGTCGTGATTAGGAGAAAAGAGGAAAAATAATAAAAATGTTTACATCTATTTGTAGAGAGATATATTAAGAATATTAATAATTTAAAAAATGAGATGTGAATAGCAAAAGAATCTTGCTATTGGCAACCCTTTTTTTTTTTTTTTGCTATCGATAACCTCCTTGTTATTGACAACCCATAAATAAATAATAATAAATTTTTTATTTATTTATAATATTTTAATTATCAATAATCCTCAATTATAAATCTCCTCCATCTCCCCTCGACACTACTTATCATTTTGATATGATATATCATCCATCACTCATCACTCGAAAGAGAATAAGACAAAACAAAAGAGTTGTCAATATAAATCTCCATACTAAAAAAGGGTTGCTAATAGATTTTTTCTTTCTTATACTTGGCATACCCTTAATTTGGTAACCAACTACCAAACTTTTTTTTTCTTTACCTCTTTTCTTATAGGGCAATACATAAGATAAATTGTCTTAATTATAATATTTTTACGCTATATTTTAGTATTTTATATAATATTATAATATTTCTAGTAATACCATGAAAATATAAAAATATTATAACTAGACTGATTTATCTTATAGATCTATCCATAAGAAAAGAAAGAAAAAAAAGATAAATGACTAGAGGTATTCTAGGTATTAGACTATATATATATATATATATATATATATATAATATAATCTTTTCACTAAGTTAAGGTAATCGATGTGCAAAAATAAAGGTGTTATTAACTATCACATAGATTAAAGATGCTCCAAAGAAGATTGTGTGACGAAATCCCCCTACGACACTCAACTCAAAAATCTCTTGAGATGGGAGGACGAATGCTCGAGAAAAGCTTTTGAAAGAAGAATTAGAAAGTGGCCGAGTAGAATCTGAAGAATCAAAATTTGTTTCTCAAAAAGAGAGTTTTGGCAGTCAAATAGTTATGAGCTTATATGTACGACCTGAAAGTCTAGTAGTACTTTCGTATATCGAATAACAAAAACAATCTTATGATCATGTATTTGTTGTAACAAAAACAAGCTATTATTTTTCAGTTTGGGTTTTCTTCACATTTATACCGTCACAATTCTAAAATCTCAATAATTACCCCTTGAAAGTAATCAAATTTTGATTATTAATTAAAAACATTTTTTTTACCCTGAGCTTGTAAACTTTTTTGAGTGATTAATAAGCTCTTTACCTAAATTTTGATTATTAATTACATTTTGATTATTAATTAAAAATATTTTTTTGAGGATTCATAAGCTCTCTTATGCACGAAGATTAATGTTTTTTCGGATGTGATCACTTCCCGATATTGGTTTCGATAAAGAGACTACTCGACCTTGATAATCATGTTTATATTTATATTTTATAGTTAGATCTTTACCTAACCATTTGTGGTCAATGAAATATTTCTTATAATATGAATTATTCAAAATATTTTTTTTTCTAATTCTCTTTATGTGATGCATTTGTCAATAAGATTTTTTTTTTATCATTTTCTGTACTTAAAGATGAATATTCTTCGTGATAATATTATATTTTTCTATCGAAACATAAGACAATTTATTTAGAGTATATACCACTAGTCCAAAATGATTCAACTAAACTTCGATAATATCGTCATTGTGATATGCTATTGATTTTCTTATCATGTCTAATAATAATCATTTATCACATCATAATAAGTTATAAAATATTTAAATTAATAATTATAAATTTAAGATGAATTATTGAAAAAACTTTTTATTTTTTTTAATTTTTTGCTTAGCATCTCTATTTTAAAAAATTATGAAACAACACTCCTAACAATGTGAAAATATCACTTTGCTCATTCTTTTGTCAGATTCACCATCACCCATAACCAACAAAACCGCCTCTGTTGACTCCACCAATCAAGCCATTGCACGTTTTGCCTGCAACCCTCGCATGAGGTAGCAACAATGAAGGCGTGCGCCTCTCTTTCATCCCCAGCGTCTAACAATGAGGGTGCACAATCCTCTTCTCTTTATCCTTACTTACGATTGATGATGCACCCTCTTTCTTTCTCTCCTAAGATCAATGACGTAAGTTATGGGCAAGTGGAAGAGACAGATCTACGAACGACATTGCGATAAGTTATCCTCATGCCAGAGGACTACGTAAGAACGATTATTCAGGAAGAAGAGAGTGACTAGCTGGACAGATGCTTCGAAAAAAAATTGGTAAAGTAAAAATTCTATTTGAGAAATCATCCATAAATTTATGTATTTTTGAAAAAATATTTGGGGTGTGTTATAATTTTTTCGAAGAACACCGTCGTCAAAGAGAATTTATATGATTGATCTACTTGACTTTATTCGCATAGATAAGAAAAAAAACAAAGGATAAATACAACATTAATGCACACATACGCCGTACCTGCCGCTTCTTATCTCTATCCACAGGAACCGACAACCTGACGTTTTCTATGCTTCCATGCCGACAGCCAGCGCCTCGTGTCATTTTCTACCGCAACTCGGTTGTACAAAATAACAAGTGTTGGTCCCACCGCATTAACTTACCCTACCAGATGCTTCGTGGGAGCTTATCTTAAAGGCACCACGGCAACCTCCCGTCTCCCTAGTACTGGATAGATCTGTCTCAGGAGAGTGCTCCCGTGGTTGAGAGATGGATTTTGTGGCACAGGAGGTGGCCGAGGATAGAGCGGCGGGAAGAGGTCAGCAGCAGCAGCAGCAGGAACGTGAGCGCGGGAAGGAGAGTTCGAGGAGCGCGTCGTCGAGCCGGTGGCAGAGGAGCGGTCGGGGCGAGAGCGAGGTGATACCGGAGTGGAAGCTCAAGTGCCTGTGCGCGGAGCGCGGCGTGCCGGTGATCATGAGCGGAAGCTTGAACATAGGAGGCTGCTTCTGATGGCCATCGGCTTGAAGATGGCCGGATTTATGATGTTATTATGCTGTTTCCTGTGTGATATTTGTGAACGCCCTTCTCTCTCGTGAATTAGTCACGAGATATGACCGTGTAAACTTTTCCCCTTCTGATGTGGGAGAACTCGTGTTATCTTTGTGCGTGGAACAAAGTTGTGGTGGTTGGTGCCGCTAACTTGCGTGCGATACGGTGGCCTGATTGGAATTATCCGACCCCCGCGAAGCTCTTAAAGATGTCATCTCCTGCAATTATTGAAGGTTCAATCACCAGTGAACCGATCAATATATCAACGTACATAGTGTACCGAGTTCATGAACGTCAAGTTCAATGTACAAATGTCTAATTTTCACATAATATTTATTATGACGAGTGAAAAATAAACCTTGAGAATTTGATCGTTCAACTATTAAACAGTATCTCCTAATAGCTACACCATTAAACAAATAGAAAATCACTCGCCAGAAATAATTAAAACAAAATAAGTACAAAATCCTCTGCTTGTTATAATCAAAAGCACAACGCATCTAGCATATCAATAACATACATGGCGGCAAACTTGTTTCATAGCAAACCAGCATCTTTCAGAGCAGACTCAAAATCTTCCTCACTCCTCCAGTTAGGAATCTGTGGTACAGAGAGGTGTCATCCGGTTTCTTAAGTTATTTCTACATAATCTGGTGCATATGGAGGAAAATAAATTAGGAGGACATTACCTCAGGAATATGATGCTGGAAATGACGCTCGATTTTCTCCATGACTGATCTGTCCCTATCAGTGCACAAGAAGTTGAAGACAGCACCTATCGCCAGATTAATCAGTAGAACACCACAAGGTTAAGTTTCGCAACTTGCACAATAACAGATTGCATCCTATCAAATGAATCTAAACCATCACGAAAAGAAATGTCGCATGACTCAGCCAAAAAAAGAAAGATGTGGAGCATACATGCAAGGTATAGCATATATCAAACGACACGGCAAGACAAGTATTATAACAATTAAGGATTTCCCATTATTTTGTTCATCCAGGATTAAGTTAAAATGAAAATACAAAATATCGCCCTGGTATGTGACTAAATCTAAGTAGTTAAAAGGCATTAAACCCTTGCCCTATTGTTGCAACCTAGAGAACGTGATAGATAAGAAATGATCTTTCAGCATAATATTCGCAACGGTGAAGAAGGGAGTATCAAGGCAACCAAATAGCAAAATGACCTATAACGGTGGTGCTTACTAAGGCCAAATCAAGAATTTACAAAATGATTAAGTTCTCATTTAATAAATTACTTAAGAGATAAGTGACAAAAGAAAAGAATTGTAAAACTGTAAGCAACAAGAATCTGTGATGTCCCAACAAAAAGGTAAAACTAAGTAGTGGGCAAATATTTATACGACTAAAATTACATAATCATTTATCTTTCTACATTATAACAAAATAATACAGTAATAAAATAGATAAGCCACATTGAATCGTATGTATATGCAGGTCACACATGCTTATGTTGATTACATAAACAGCTACATACACCGGAAATGCAGTAACACTACGAATATACATTGCATAAGCAGGGTCATAGACACATGCAAATGCAGCTGCATTCACCCTTTTAGAACAATGGATTTAAATGTAGTTATTATAACTGAAGAAATCATCGATTGAGGATGTGACATATTATCCAAAGCATCGATAAAAATTACCTTTGCTACCAAAGCGGCCAGTTCTACCAACTCTATGTAGATATAGTTCACAATCTGGTTCTGATGGATTGTCATGCTTTATAGGAAGATCATAGTTGATAACCAAATTAACCTTCAACGGAACAAGAAAAGCATAAGAATTATTGATTTCAAAGATATATCTCTAAATAAATAAATTTAAATCCTATCTTGTAGATAAATAATTTAATACCTGTCTTTGATCAAAACCTCGAGCAAGGAGATCAGTTGTAATGAGGACTTTGGTTAATCCATCTTTAAATTCTTTTATAATTTGGTCTCTGTCTTCTTGCTTGAGAGCACCTTGAACTGATGTACATTCATAGCCCTCTTCGGTCAACGATTGGTGTAACATGCGAGCACTATTTCTTGTACGGACAAATATTATAGTCTGTCCTACTTTTTGCCCAAATTCAAAAATTTTGTCCTTTATTACTTCTACTTTGGAAAGTTCATCTGGACATTGGACCTTATATTGCTTTACTTTTTCCAACGTGAGTTCTTCTTTCTTCACAAATATTTGATTTCCATCTTTGATTACCCTTGATACAAATGCCTTGACAGCTTCATTGAATGTAGCAGAAAAAAGAAGCACCTAACAACAAAAATCAAGAAAAAGAGCAATAAGTTCAACCTCATCTATTTCAATTAGTAACAGCAATTTACAGTAACATAAGACCGAATATGACAGAGACGAAATGAAAGAAAATTTGAAATATCCCAAGGATTACAGTATATGACCTCCATAGCATTTATTAAGCTGCATATGATTCTTGTGGCTAAAGCAAACCAAACTTGAGTAGTTTGGTAGGCTTCGCATGTATTGTTGATGATTACACAAGTGAATACAAAAACTATAAGAAAATCAACCACAAGGCTCAATAAGAAATTCTACTAACTACAAGGTTAGTAGAGATTGTATCAATCACAAGGTTAAATAAGAAATTGTAAATATAAACTAGAAAACTCACTATAACAAACACAAAAGTAAGCAATCTAACAATGGGAAATATAGTTAGAATAACATCTTATGCACAACACAACATGTTCACTCTTAAACAAGAACAGAATGATAACAATGATTCAGCAGGAGGCTTAATGATTGTGCAAAAAGCTAACTCTGATTAGTGGAACTAAGAGTTCATTGAATGTTTGCAATTAGATATGTCATGAACACATGGTTAAGCATTTTAGTGTGAATGACTGCACACAGTTGTTCTATGTGCTTCACGGAGCCAGGGACGACCAACAAAGAATAATACCAGATTTTTCTACCACTTTCCATTAACTGTTTATTGATTAAACAAATTCCTAGCTTACAAGCTGTTATCTGTTTTACTTCACCCGGAAATTATCAGGAGATCTAATTTTCCAATAATTCCCTGGTAAATCTTGAATGGACTCTGTAAGTTAATGAAAAAAAAATCCTATCTAGAAAATTCTGAAATGGCACCTTTATTCCTGAGGATCTCCACTATGAAGACAGTCTCACAGTCAATTTACTTTCTGCTAAGTACTTCAAGGTTTGAACTTTGAATATATTGGGAAATTTGCAAAGTGGTGTTTACAAACTAGGATCTGGGGGAGAAAGTCTCACATGAAGATATACCATCAAGTCTTAATACATGGGAAATGAATATATAGCAAATCTTAACATTATAACAATTGTCTCAGGAGATCTCCTCAATACCAAGAACATCAGTAAAATTGGCAAATGAAAAGAATTGGTATCAAAAAATAAGAACTACAAGCTGCATTTGCACAGGAACAGGTAACCAAAGCAAGTATCTAGCTTCAAAATTAAATATCTAGCTCAGGTTTGAAGCTCAAGGTTGCCTACCATTCTAGAATTATGCATCTATGTTCAGTTGAGAGGAAAGAGAAGAGAAAGGTTGAAGATAAAGGAAAGTTAATTGTACAAAGGTCATTTTATATCCAAAACAGAGATGGTAAGCATCAACAATTATATTACAATTTGAAAAATCGAATGCAGAATTAAAAGGATATAGAAAAATGTAATAAACCACAAACAGAAGAGAAATAAAGTGTAAGGTACAACAAAATTTACTACCAACAACCTATGAAATTAATTCAAAAATTAGAGAAGGATATCTAAAAGCATATTATAGTGGATATGCATGAATGTACAATTATAAAGAAAGTAAGGCTAGAGTTTATACAATCATAGGCTAGGTTCAACAAAGACAGAAAAACAAATTAACATGTATGGAAACCTATTGAAGAAAGGGAACCATTGATGTTCTAGGAATCAGGAAGGAGAAATGTTGCCACCCCAAGTTCAAGATTATAAGGCGGGTGTAATTCGGTCCGAGACAAGACCAGATTGGTGCAAGAAACCAAATCTTGTAACCTCTACACTGCTTCAGCAATCCATTGTGGCCAACTTGAGAAACTAGATTCAAAGAAGAAAAGAACTATGAAATTGCTTCTCAATATTTATGTTGCATACATTAAAAGTTTTTATTTTGAGGTTAGGGCTCTACTGTTGTGAAATTACTTCTCCATATTTATGTATGGCTAAGCTAGGATGCACATGCTCCTCGGGTCCCCTTTCCTTTCTACTTAATCACGCAAGCCCTGTCATTTATCAACATTGAGCTACATATTAGCTACCCACAAACAACTTCCTTGTTTGGATTTCCTAACAAGGACTTGAAGAACAAAAATGGTAAGGCTTAACGTTCAGCATAGTTGTACCAGATACCCAACCCTATGATCTTAAGTACTTGTATGGTTTGCTGTTCTCATGCAACTCCAAGCAAGGTGCAACCATTCACCTGTTACGGGAGGAAGACATACTTACAAGTACTGCATAAATATATGACACCATGATACATAGTTATTATCTTGTTGATGATATATTCTGTCAGACAAGAACCTTGCTGCTGTTGGTTACTTCCAAATCTGGGTAACTAGATATGGGCCAGTAACTAGATATGTCTTAGTTTGTAAACTATTTGCAATGTGATCTGGAGAAATTCTTGCATAAACAAACTCAGAAGAAAAAAAACAGTATCATGCTGAACTTAGAAACCTAAACATGAAATCTAACTGCATCATAAAAAACCAAACCTGGCAACCACCACTGCTTCTTTGAATCTCTTTCATGATCCTTTCAGAATCATCCCTAAAGCCATCCTGTACCAAAAAAAATAAGATAGACAACCAAACAAAATAATCCAAGAAAGATGACTACAAAGATAGAAGTAAACAAACGACATGAAACCAAAGTTTATCAAAATAATTTCCTGAGAAATATCAACAGATCATCTTGAAGACAGACAAATGAGTTTATTAGGAAAATAATAATAATTCCTCATTAAAATATTTATCAATACCTTCAGGTACTAGTCAATTCCAATAATTAGGACTGAAATTGATCACATGATTCAGGATCAGATCAAATAGTGTGGCTAATTTGTTTTCTTTCTTCGTTGTTTTTCTTTTGAAAAGATTTAATATCAATTAGGATCAACTAGTGATTGGCCAGGATCGACCAGGTTTCATAGGATTGAGTCAAATGCCTTCAAGATAAACAGAAATTCAGGTTCAAAGATATGGATAGCATGCACAACAAAGGTAAATTGTACTGTCATAGAAAACCACTAATGATTGTCCTGTTGGGGAGGCATTACAAAACTATTATTGAAGAAGTAATTTATCACTACTTAAGATTTTTAAAATATGGTATGAAGTGCTACCTCGGCTAGCATATGATCTGCCTCATCAAAAACAAGTATCTTCATGTCCCTTGTGCTCAATTTTTTTGCTGAAGTCCACTTCTTAATGGTTCCCGGAGTGCCAATCACTACTTGCTCAGTTACTGGTGGACGTTTATTTATTGGAATATAATTAGCAGAATCAGATGGAATAGCACACATTGAAGTTATGCCAGTATACTTTCCCATCTTCAGAAGGACCGCATGATTCTGCATCATCCATCTGAATAGTTACAACCTGCTATTCCAAATGCTGCGTACTTAAACAGGAATGAATTTACCTGCTGAGCCAACTCTCTAGTAGGGCAGATGCAGATGGCTTGTGGTATCTTCCTCTTTGGATCGACTCGACTCAACATTCCAAGCACAAAACATGTGGTCTTCCCTGAGCCATTGTGAGCTTGAGCTACCAAATCTTTATACGGAGGCGTGAGAATCATAGGTAGAGTAATAGCCTGTATTTTGCTAGGCTTACTAAAACCCATCTCAACATACAACCCTTTGATAAGCTCATCCGACAATTTCAAGTCTTCGAACGTCACAGCAGAAGTGTAGACAGTATCACCGGATGTAACCTATTCAATTTATAAATCATTATTTCACGAAAGGCTAACCCAGTCACACGATTTCCCCTCGATACTGATAAGATCCATCCGATGTAAAGCATCAAACCCAGTCGGAATAAAACAGCTCAAAAACCCTAACATCGGACGATACTATATCGAGAACAATAATACGAAGCCTTACCGCTTTAATTTCCGAATCGTCGGGATCATCCAGCAGACGTTCACCGCTGTCCTTCCCGTCGGAGATGGAGAGCGACTCGATCTTCTTCAACTCCGAGGGTTGAGCTTCGTCGGCGGCCTGCGAAGGCGGCGCGGCGGCTTCCTTCTCTTCGTCCGACTCTTCGTCGGCCCATGACCGCTTTTCCTCCGTCTTTGCCGGCGGCGCAGCGTTCTCCGCCATGGAATGGATCGGAGGAAGAGAGATACCGAGGCGAGGAGATCTCGATAGACAACGACGCGAAAAAGACGACGGACGCCTACAAAACCAAATTTGCGCTGTCTCGGCTTAAATCTAACGCGAAAAGGGCCGCCGGCCGTTCACTGCATTATTTCCAATTTTTTTCTCACCCAATTTTCTCGGTACCCGACTGTCTTCCTGCATTGATGGAAAGGCAATGGTGGCCCACCAGTTCGTGGACCCATGATTACCTCCAATCACAAGGCAAGTAACTATTAGCCCGAAATCGACTTCATCAGATACACCGCTGGGACTCGAACACCGATTCACCAGGAGTGTCGAAGACATACATGCTTTATTGGCAGAAGAAAAGAACAACGTCGTTGCTCAACACAATTATTCTTCGTTACTGGGTGCTTAATCGTATTGAATTTTTAGTTTCTATTACTTTTAAATATATAATCTTCCTCGTTTAGATCATTTGTTCGTTTTTCATCTCATGTCGTTACACGTCAAATTGTCCAATTTACTGGATATTTCTCAAAACTAGCCTATGACCTTTAAATTCTTATAAATAATATACAGGTAATTCTTTATAATTTTGTTGCCAGTCAAACTATTAGGGAATACTATGTCATAGCCGAGGTGCAAGCTCGGCTTGGTCCTCTCCCGGATACGTAAAGTTGCTCATGTGGATACTTGAGCGGAGAAAATCGATGTCGAGTCAGGTCGTCGGATTTGAGCTTTGTCTTCGTCATCGAATTCGATGCATAAGTGAGGTGAGTTGTTTACTTCTTCGTCATCGAATTCCTGCACAAAAGGTCGAGATCATGATTTTCTAGCCCAACTCTTCCGAAGCTTAAATCAAAGTTGAGTGGAGTTAAGAGGAGTTCCCCCTTTTTTTTTCCCTTCACTTGGTGTTGGTCAAGGGGTCAACTTTTTTATACTTGTGAACAGGAGTTGATCGTACATGGTATGTTAATGACAATCGACTCCACGAGCGATAGCTTTCGTGTGAACACCGATCGACCAACATGTGCTAGTACCGATCGACGTCATCTTATATGGCATAGGAGGGGAGGCAGTCATCCCATTAGCATTGGGGTTTCTCTTTGGCATTGACGTGGTTGCTGATCGTTGTCTCTGATATCAAAATATGCCATATCAAACGGGTTAAAGGGATGGCAGTTCGTTTATCTCATTTCTTCATATATCTAAAACACAGTTCTTTTGGTCATCTTATTATTAATGATCCGTATCATCTAGCGCGATTAAGAACCGGTTCGCGATGAAGCGGTGGTCGCTTCGAAGGAACAATTTCTTGAGTTGATGTCACACGGCGTCTCTTTCCATTATCTTTTCTGCGCAGTATCTGCTGTGGTCCTCGTCATCTTCCACCTTCCTGCCCTCCTCCAGTGCATCCCCGATAATTATTTGTTATTCTTTAAAAATCAATAGTTGTTTGGTTTTCCATGCGACTTTATGTTTTGTAGAATCCGAAAGAGGATTCATTCAATTTCACTAATTAATACTCTACTGCTGTTATCAATGATGATAGGATTGCCATACATAATCACATGTGTACAAAAAAAGAAAAGTTGTATCTATCTTTTTTTCTACTTCGTTTTATGGTGATGATGTTCTTTTTTTGGGAACATGAATATTTTGTTAGAAGTACATAAATGGATAAATTTTTTTTACAATATTTGTCAACAAAAATTTACTGTCTTGTCTTCAAAGTGATATTGTTCTTCGATTTTGAATCATATGGAAACTCCAAAAATATTTGTCAACTATAATCTTGGAAGACTACTTCAAATTCCTAAAATTCAAGATCGATTGATACGGTTGCAACATGAACATCCGCACTATTTATCGTTATTTATGCTATGCTGTCTTAGTTTATAATATATATATATATATATATATATATATATATATATATATATTTGTTTATGCTGGAAATAAATTTGAATAAACAGTATCAGCATTTCATAATTAATGAAATCTAAATTTCAAATGTTAAAATATAGTTATTTTTTTGTTTTGTATTTTAATTGTAATTTTAAATTTATATTATATTTTTTTTACAAATATTAAAATATAGTTAATTTTTTTTTAAGAGTATGTACAAGGGTACATACGTTATATGGTATACGTTAGAGCCTTCTATGTTCCTTCTTGGGCTTTTAAATTACAGAAATAACCCCATCGGCAATAAAACCTCGGCTCCCGTTGAGGAACCATTTCTTTTCGGTGGCGTCGCTCGCCGCTGAGAACTCCTCGTCTGCCGGTCTTTTCTCGTTCTCTGCTTCACTCTCTGCCTCTGATCGTCTCCGCGGGCGATCCCTCGCGCTCTCCGCCTCGGATCGGCTCTTCCGACGCCCCGCCTCTCATGACCATGACGACTCCACCGCCTCTCGATGTACGTGCCACCACCACCTGAATTCATCGATTCCCAAACCTTCGGCTCAACTTTGCTCTTTACTCCTAATCCTTTTCGTTCCCTTGCTTATTTTCTTGATCCTTTTCTTGATATCGGTTTCGGCGAGTAGTTAGGGTTTGGGTTAGGTATATGGCTCGCGAGTCCGGTCGAATTGGATCCCCATTGCATCCCCGAATCTGACATCTAGGGTTTGATTTGGCTGCCGGGGAGCTGATTCTTTTCTTTTTTCCTTCGACGTTTTTTCAGCAGGAGGAGGACGAGTTGTTGGTCCCACGCCCGGAGATCGCGGAAGGGCCCCAGCCAATGGAAGGTTAGCCTTGATCTTGGTTTTGTTCCTCTTAATAACAAGGATCTTGAATTGAGATTTTGTTGGATTGAGTCTGATTTATTCTTTCGTTCGTACATGATTCGTATATGGCTTTTTACTGCTGATATTATGTTAATATGTTATTCGGTAAGTGTTGTTTTCAGGGTTTTGATTTGTTTGTTTTATGTGCCGCACAGTTGCTCAGAGTGAAACTACTAGTACTGCTGAGAACCATCAGGTAGAGGAACCTTCGTCCTCCAGGTTTACATGGACAATCGAGAATTTCTCTAGGTTGAATACCAAGAAGCTCTACTCTGATATGTTTATAGTCGGTGGCTACCAGTGGTATGTAGATATATTTTTCTGACTTCTGCTGCTTAGTTATGTATCTGGATTCTTAATTGAAGGCCACACATTTCTTCTTCCCTTTTTTCCTGTATTGATTGCGACAGGAGAGTGCTTATCTTTCCAAAAGGTAATAATGTTGATTATTTGTCGATGTACCTGGATGTTGCTGATTCAGCAAGCCTACCATATGGGTGGAGTAGGTTTGCACAGTTCAGTTTGGCTGTGGTCAATCAAATCCAAAGCAAGTATTCAATAAGGAAAGGTATATTAGAGGACTTGATGATTTTGTTCAGGGCTGCTTTCCAATTTATATTAAATTGCCTATTAGTTCTTCATGATAATTGGGAAATACTGAGGTTGGGTAACATCTCATGCTTACATGGTTAATTTTAAGTTCTCAAAGTGCATGCACGGGCATATATATTGGTCCCTTAAAAGTCCGGACAGGTGATGCCTAGAAAATATGCATTAAAATGATACAGATTCAATATTAAAATTAAGTACAGACATTTTCTTGACAATGTATTAATTCTGACATTAAAGTTTAGTCAAACATATAATGTTTTGTATGGAATCTAGCATAACTTTTTATGACACATTATATAAAATGGATCTTCTATAATCTGTTGATTCATTCTGGTCATCATTTCTATTTATCTCTAAGACTAACTAATTTTTTTGCCCACTATCCCTCGGTAAAGGTGTTCTGTTTGAAGATACCTTTTATAACCCTAAGGCTTGCTAAATCTTTTGCCTAATATCCCTTCGAAAGGTGTTTCATTTGAAGATACTTTTTAAGATACCGGTAACGGCAAAGTAGAAAGTCAATAGATGCATAGTCATTAATTAATGGCACACATCATGACAAAAAAACTTTCATATCAAGATGGTTTTAACAATTACTGTCTGTTGTGCAACAATATAAAACAGTTACTTTTTGCTTTTACTTTTTGATAAAAGAACATGGACATGTGACATTACTTAAATTGATGTGTCATTGTCCTATCATTATTTTCTGAACGAAGTTCTATTACTCTTTGGTAATAGCCATTTATAAGCAGGCCTTCTAGCTTGGTTCCACCTAGTCCCATGTTCCTTCAATAATGGTCATGTATAAGCAGGCTTCAGGGCATAGGTGGCTGCCTTGGTTCCATCTACATGCTTAAGTGCTGGAATTGTGGGAAACCTAAATGTACTAGGTGCTTAGGTGATTAGGCTAGCTGAAAGGCCTAGGTGGTGACTTGCGATATCACTGGATGATTTAATAAATAAAATAAAATATTGTTTTGTACAGTAACATATATATTGATGCTTTTAATCATACACACTTTCTTCTTTCTTCATCACATGAGACTTTATTTGGGATAAGACCTCATCTTTAAGAGTTTTGTGACTGACTTTATGGTGGTTTGCTGCACTAGACTTGCGTTCTACATCCAGGGGATCGTTGTTGGCTATATTTTTGACATACTAGCATAAGCTTTATATGGAAACATGTAGTGTCTCCTTTTACTTTGTTGATCCCTGTGACTACCCTGACTTGTTCGTTCTTATTCTGTGAGTCGTTCTTTTCTTTTTTTTTTTTTGCGGTAAAGAGATTGAGTATTTTTCTAGGTTAGAATAATTAGGCAGCGGTTCCTTTTTTTTTCCTGTTTTTTTGACCTTTTATCTTTTCAGTACTGCATTTCTGGGCATAATTTTTTTTCTGGTTGTAAAAACAATGTGAAAGATTGATTGGCTGGCTTTAAACTCTCATTTAAAAGAGTTGTAAAAGGATTTGAAGTTAGCTCAATGTGAAGATCAAGAGGAATCAGTTAGAGTTGAAAAAAGGTCTAGTTAATTGTACTTAATAGTCTTATACAGAAAGAGCTGTGCACATGAAAAGTAAAAGCAAAGAGTTCTCTTTTTTCAGAGTGGTCCTTACCATCTTTCCTAAGTTACTCCCATCTAGTCAGTCAGTTTGGGATGTTAGCCGCACCATGGAAATTTCTTTAAATAGTACAAGAGTAAAGTGGCCATTTTACCTGAAAGCTGCTGTTTGTGTTTCTGATAGCAATCCATGTGGATGTGAATTTCCTGCTCGGAATTACACCATCAACTTTTGTTAAAAGTTAAATCAGGGGTTGACAAAATTTAACTGTTCGTGCTTGACTAGTTAGGATAACGTTCTCTGATTGAATTTAAGATGAAAAGCCATTTTCTTGGCGGCAACCTTATCCTCTTCTTGGCGGCAACTTTATGGCGGCAAATGAGAAAACAGGGGTGGGTTTACCAAATCAAAGAAACTAAGACAAATATGTGGATGCATATGAAAATAATTGCATATGAAAAGTTGTAAGGATCTGTCATTTGAATTTTCGAGGGTTGCATATGAAAATAATCGCAAAGATTGGATTATACTTGAAACTTGAAAGTCTAGATTGTGCACCAAAAGAAGTTGATGCATAATTTTATTTGTTGCTAAGAACATGGTTTAAGATGTGATCTATTCTGATCAGTTTAAAGCTTCATAGGCCGCTTAAAGATGAAGGAAACCGGGAATCTTCTTCATGTTAGCTTGGAAATGAGTTTTCACTTTCAGATCTATGATTGATTGGTGTTGGTGACACCTGTTTTGATGCATCAAAATTCTAGATTGGCTTTAGGTTCTGGGAGATCTCTGTCCTCGGCTGGTTTCAGTAACCCTGTGCTTAGTTTCAGTGAACAAGTCAGGTTTATTGAATCAAATTGATCTTCATAACCAATTCTTTTGCAATTTTTGGGAATGGATCCTGATCCCTTAAATCATCTTTAGAATTTGTTTGCATTAGTCTTGGGATCAATCTTCTATTTTGTTGTATTTCTTGCAATTTTTTCCTCTTATTTTAATATTTAAAATGTGGCTTGCAATGATTTTAAAAGTTGTCGGTAATGTTTCCTACAGTTCATAGCCCTAATAGTAATAGAAGTGAAAAGAAGGCTGTGCTGAGGAAATAACAGGTAATGTCATTCAGCTGCTTATTGGCTTTTGAAGGTCATCCATGAAACATGTTTGAAGTAGGAAAAGGATTCGATTGCGCTGATGTGGTTGGTGAACTGAAAGAAACCAGACACACTTTCATTAGTACTCATAGTGAAAAGAGCATTTTTCAGGCCAACTAGCTTGTTTCTGTACTTGGTCTTCTTTCTGCCTCCTTTCTCTTATCTTCTTTATCTCAGAATGCATAGAAGCAAAGTTTGTGGACCTGTTGACCTCCTTGGGCAGTTCTTCCATTTTTGTCTGCTGGCTGTTCCCAGGCCAGGTAGTCTGATGTTCAATTTTGGTTGGTCTTATTTAAGATACAAAAATTTTAATGCGAACCGGAATCATGAGAAACAAGTCAGTATTTGCAATAGCAGGTAAGGTTTGTTCGTGGTTTGGGCCATATGTTGGACTTCTTTTGTGTGGCTTAGGTTATTATATAATACGTCATCCAATACTTCTAACCTAAAATTATTTTCTGCAATTTGACTCAAATATGTTAATTAGTTTGATAAAATAAACACTGGAGTAGGTCGCCAAAGAGAAATTCAACCGGTATTTTTTGATGTTTTGGAGGCAAGGGTTGTGTTTACATCCTTTGGGCTTTTCATATGTTTCAGGAAAGCAAATAAAGTTGCTGACTGTTTGGCAGGATATGTTATGCATTACCAAGTTACTGAGAAATGGACCATTACTTGTCTTGCCGTATTCAGGAGTTGATTGTTGTTGAGGCAAGTAGATATTTGTCTCTGAGGATGTAGTAGTACTTGTTATTCTGACCCCAGAAAAAAGAAGAAAACTTGCCAGCAGATTATTAATTTCTCTCTATAAGTATCAGTTTAACTGACTGGATTAGCCCCTCCTTAAAATTGCAACTTGTGAACCATGAGTTAGCATTAGCTTCAGTGAGGTTTCCACACTTATTTTCTGGATGATGTAATTTGATTTGTGAGCTATGCTTTACATTCAAATCATACTTCAACTGTAATATGGATTAAGTTTGTGATTGATGCATCAAACTTTCTTGTTCCAGTTGATATCATTGTATGTGGAAATAGTTTTGGTGTCCTTATTTGCCTATATGCAGAGATAAAAGTGTTTTTTAGCTGAATTTAAGTGATTAACATTTTTTTGGTTGCAGACACCCAACACCAATTTAACTCACGTGAAAGTGATTGGGGTTTCACATCGTTTATGCCTCTAAGCGAAGTATATGACCCAAGCAGAGGATTTCTAGTAAATGATACCATAGTAGTTGAAGCTGATGTTGCTGTCCGCAGAGTCATTGATTATTGGTCTTATGACTCAAAAAAGGAGACAGGTTATGTTGGTCTCAAGAATCAGGGGGCTACTTGTTACATGAATTCCCTTCTCCAGACTTTGTATCATATTCCTTATTTCAGGAAGGTGCGAAATTTTATGCTTTCTCTGTTTCACGGTCTATGTAATTCGTGACATTCTGTTTTGTTCTTTGATTTCCAGGCTGTGTACCATATGCCTACAACTGAGAATGATATGCCATCAGGAAGCATTCCATTGGCCCTGCAGAGTTTGTTTTATAAGCTCCAATACAGTGATGGCAGTGTTGCTACAAAAGATTTGACGAAATCTTTCGGATGGGATACATATGATTCGTTTATGCAACATGATGTCCAAGAACTCAATAGGGTTCTTTGTGAGAAGTTGGAAGACAAGATGAAGGTAAGGTTGTTGCATCTAACAAGCTGCATCTTGATACTGGGAGATACTAACCAGTTATGATGCAATCACAGGGAACTGTTGTTGAGGGCACTATACAACAGTTATTTGAAGGTCATCACACGAATTACATAGAGTGCATTAATGTGGATTACAAATCCAGCAGAAAGGAGTCTTTTTATGGTAGGAAACTATAATAAGAACTGAACTGTTTTATGCTTTAAGCTGCACAATGTGCTCTGTATAGTTGACGGGAAACCACTTCTTTAGATCTTCAGCTTGATGTCAAAGGTTGTCATGATGTTTATGCTTCTTTTGATAAGTTCGTTGAAGTTGAGCGTCTTGAAGGAGATAACAAATATCATGCAGAACAGTATGGTCTACAGGTTAGTTACTTAGTCATCCTTGGATAAAATACTGGTTAGTTCTGAAACCATAGTTGTATTTCTTACAGCTTAAGTCGGAAACCTCTTGCTGTTTTGGAGTCATATTTAATGTAAGGGATTGTGCTTAGGTAGCAGAGATCCTTTACTGGGAAATGAAATATTCAAATTATTGAAGTTGGATTTTGTTTGAGGCAAGAAGTTGATCAATGGAAGATCATCATTATATAATACATATAAAGGCCAGCAATGGAAGAAAATTAGAAATGTAGAGGAAAATTTTATTTTTTCCATTTTTTTTACAGAAAAGATATGTAGAAACAGAAAGATAAATTGATAGAAACTTTTGTTTTATGTGCATGTTTTCTTGTGTTATCAAGAAAACTTTACCTTATTAAATTTGTATGTCCATCAATTTGTTCACAATATATAGCTGTTTGATATATTTCCCATTTTTAATGTATTTGTTTGTTTCTTTTCCTCTTTATCTTTTTACTTAATATTAGGTAGAATGTAGTAGGTATAAATACTTGTACTATAGGTATAAATACTTGTACTACTTTCACTCGCTGTAGGGCAGCATTATTTGCCTGATTGAATGCAAATGCGGACTTTCTGTTTGTTTTTTCTCAAGTAACAGGTTGTATAAATTTCTACCTATACACACTGAGAAAGATTCGCCGACTGTTCCTACCTTAGTTTAAGCATGCCAGTCCATTCTGGAACTTGTTTATTAAATGGAGAAGAATCTGAAGTGCTAAAGAATAACATTAGGCATTACTAGCCTGTGCAGTTTAGGTGTATGGTTCATTCATCTTTTTATCTTGTTTTTCTATAATAACAAGTATTCTACATTATCCTGTGATACAATATTTTTACAATGTTTTCTGGAATTTGGACTAGTAGCTTGTGTACATTTCAGGATGCCAAGAAGGGTGTTCTCTTTGCTGATTTCCCCCCTGTTTTGCAACTTCAACTCAAACGTTTTGAATATGATTTCATGCGAGATACTATGATTAAGGTTGGTACAGTTGCAAAGGCATGCTTATTTTCTGTTGGTGGCATTGACTTCATTCTGATTCCTCATTAGATCACATATTTCATGATTTTGATCTGGATAAAAGACTTGTTGCCAAAGTGAGAAGTTGGTATGAAAAGTAATGAACTAGTTGGTAGATTTTAGCTCTATTCTCATACATTAAATACTTACCATTCTCAATTTCATTTTTTTTTTATGTTTATATGTAAGTATAACTTAAACAATACAGAAATTTTACATTGAGATACATGATGTTACAAAATTTATATATTAATATTGAGGACTGCGAGAGATTAGAATGGTAAGGTTGCCCCCTTGCGACTTAAGTGATCAAGTTTAAGCACAAGGGTTTGACTTTCAAGTCAATGAAATAACCTCTCTAATGTTGCGTACATTGATCCTTCTCGGATCTTACATTGGTGGAAGCCTTATCCATTGTATGTCCTTTTGTTTCTTGATGTTGAGGACTGGACGAATATGCATATCATAACTGAAATTAATAAATATGCTAAGACTTATCAAAAATGTTTTTTTGATTGGATGGGAATGAACTGAAAAAGGGTTTATTCTATGATATTAAATCTAGAACCTTGATTCTTGCCAAAATTTGTGTTACCTTTTGATGCATGTAAAATTAAACTGTAGATCGTACTGATCAAAGTACTTCTTTCTAAATAAGAACACTGAAAATATAATTTTTGGAATTTGAAAAATGTGATGGGCAAATGACATAAATTTTGGAAACTATTCATTCCTCTTTTGTGATCAAACTTATTGAAGTGTGAAATTCATACCTTGAAGTAAAAGGAAGACAAAAATAACAGTCCTTGCACAGAGTGCATCTTTTCTAGAGGGAAGCTTGGCCTTGAGGTGCAAAAAATACAGGGTGTTGCCTTTGGTGGCAACATGCTATGGGATGGTGGTTCCACTTATGGGGTCAAATTAGTATGTTCTAAGAAGAAATATTTGAATATGAATTTTTAGTTAGTGGGTTCTTAGATATGTTCTTTTCATGTTCAATGGAGTCTACATTTAAATTCACCAATCCATTTAGGATGGTAACACGATTTCACCTAGATTTGTTACTTGAAATCTGGTTGCTTAAACAAGAGAAAGTCATAATTATAATTGTATCCAACTTAAGTTTTTTTATGCTGAAGCAAAGTTAGAGATTGCTGTACATTTATTGTTCCTGATTGTGCTTTAGTGGCTGTACATTGACATTAGATTTGTTGGACCCCAAGTTAATTTTCTCTGGTCCACCATCATAGAACTTCTGCATTTTTTTTAGGTAGATCCTTCTTTTATGGAACGATGAGTACCATAAGTATATTATATGAGCATCTGAAATGAAGCATTTACACTTTCTTTTAATTCCTAAGTTTTGTTTAATTGGTCGGAATAAAGTTTTATCGTGGATTAAGCATCTGCTAGTTTAATAGTTAGAGGGCTTTTGTAAGTCCTTGCTTGCTGGAGTGCTATTCATGTTTGACACGTTTGACTCAGTTAGAAGTCAAATGTGGATAAACACATTAATTTTTTATTCTTTTCATCAAATTTACTAGAGTTTATTTTATTTGTGCTTTGGTTCATTTAACATCTGTTGTTTGTCAACCTTTTTACTGTGGCAACTGTCTTGCATAAAACTTATGCAGATAAATGACCGTTATGAGTTTCCAGTGCAATTAGACCTTGATCGAGAAAATGGCAAATATCTTTCTCCTGATGCAGACAGAAGGGTCCGCAACCTATACACAATTCACAGGTAATGATTATTGGTTGTTATATTATTTGTTTGTTTATCTTTTCTTAATTCGAAGTTACTCATCTTTCTCTTCCTTGTGTTCAGATTTTTTTTTCCTTGTAAATGATATCAATGTCACATTTATCTTCTGATTTCTACAATTTTAATCAACTGGGTTTTTTGTTATTGTTGGGTTGACTTCCCATGTTTTTACTATATATTGCCACAATTTGCTTTGTTTGTGAGAAGGTACTACAAGATTTACGAGGTGTTATGTGGTATTTAGTGGCATCCATGTTATAAAAGAGGAGCTGATATTAGCTATTATTATATGTTCATGCTAAGGTTTTTAATTTTGTATCGTATCGGCTTTTTGAGCTTTGCTCGATACGGTATATTACGGGTGTATCGAGCGATACGCTAGGGTGTCCCGCTCGGTTCGTGTGTGTGTGTGTGTGTATATATATATATATATATATATATATATATATATAAATCAATATATAAAAATAATATTAAAAAAAGGAGGCGTACGTTGCCTCGACGACGTCGTCTCCTTTTCTTCTCCTCGTCACATCAGATGAGGAGAAGAACGTTGTCTTCTCATTTGCGGCATTCGACGAGAATGTCGAAGGCCGTAGACGTCTCCGGCCTTCGGCGTGACACGACGTGACGAGGAGAAGAACACGGTCTTCTCCTCATCTACGGCGTTCAGCGAAGACATCGAAGGTCGCAGGCGTCTTCGGTCTTCGACACGATGCGACGAGGAGAAGAACGCGGTCTTCTCCTCATCTGCGGCGTTCAGCGAAGATGTTGAAGGCCGCAGACGTCTCCGGCCTTCGGCACGACGCGACACGATGAGGAGAAGAACGTGGTCTTCTCCTCATATGCGGCGTTCGACGAAGACGTCAAAGGCCGCAGACGTCTTCGGCCTTAAGCGTGACGTGACGAGAAGAAGAACGCAGTCTTCTCTTCATCTGCAGTGTTCGACGAAGACATTGAAGGCCGTAAACGTCTCTGGCCTTCGGCGAAAAACGTGGCAAAGACCACATGCATCTTCGGGCTTCGGCGAAGGACGCGACGAAGAACTCGATTCGTTGCCTCTCCGTTACCTCCTGGATTGGGATCGTCGAGGGAGGGCGTCGGATCGGAAAGCGTCGAGGTTCTCTCGATTCTCTCTTTTCTTCGAGCGCCGTCTCCTAACGAACCGGTATGTACTGGCCGGTACAAGCGGTATCATTCGAAATTAAAATCCTTGGTTCATACTAGGAACAAAAGCCAATATAAGAGCTAAAAAATGGCATAGCTGTACTTTGGAACTTTTGGTATGGTTTGGTGTGGCATTTCATAGAATTCCCTAAGTCAACATAGGTTAAAAAATGACTTAGCTTTAGTTTGGAACCTTTGGTATGGTTTTGGTATGGCATTTTCAAATACCTCCCAAGTGCCATATGTTTTGACCTATGCTGACATGTGCCTATTGACATGACGATCCTTGTTGGTACTATGGATATAGTTCAATGTAATAGCATTTCTATGCATGTTTCTTTGAGTCAGTCAGTCTTATCATTTTGTAAATGAATGGTGTCTATTATGGTATTTCTGTGAAAAACTTTGGTTTCCACTTGCAGGTTGAGCATATGTGCTTGGCATTGCTCTACATTGACATAATTAATTGTTGTTTCTTTATGTAAACCTAATAAAGCAACTTCTTTTTGTGCATCGATATTGATTGGATTCAAGTTGAGTTGTCTTAGACTATGGCTTTAGCAATAATTTTTTTTATTATTATTGATGTGGTTGTTTTTTTAATATTGTAACTTTCTTTTGGTCAAATATGCAGTGTGCTTGTTCACAGTGGTGGAGTGCATGGTGGACACTACTATGCCTTTATCCGTCCAAATCTTTCTGACCAGTGGTATGCATTTACTTGATGGTTATGTTTTTCTATTTGTACCTGCTATTTTGAGGCAATAAATTGTCATAACTCGACTTGGTGGGATGATTGACATATTAAATAGGCCTAAACTACTAGATGAAAATACTTAAGCTGAAATTAGTAGTAATAGACCATTGAACTTTATAAACAAACTTAAACCTCCTCTGAATTGTAATGTAGGACTAAGATGGGTGGCAAAATCTCCCATCCTCAAGTTTGATGTCCTCGTCAAAATGCAAGTCATATTCAAAATCAAGCTAATATAGCACACACGAGACCTATCCCAATTCAGCACCATCCACAATTGTCCTCCTTTACTTGGTGTCTCATGGTGTCCAATTTTGAGTACATTCTGATATCATTTGTCGTGACCTGGTCCGATAGGATAAATCCATGATTGTCCTCCTGTATTTGGTCTCTCATGGTGTCCAATTTTGAGTGCATTTTGATATCATTTGTCTTGACCTGGTCCAATAAGATAACCGACCTGTTAACGTTATAAGCTTGTACCATTATTTCGAAATACTTGAGCCTAAATCAGTGGTTTGAAACCCATCCAATCCTATAAACCAACTTAAACCTCCTGGAGTGTTACCGAATCCTTTACAAAGTTCTTGATTTTATTTGTCATAATTTATAAGCAGTTGTTGGCAAGCCATAGTTGTGTTCTTGACTGATATCTAGGCTTAAATGATCTTCTCAAGCTTCAAAAATCTTGCTACAATTTTGTTTTCTAGTTATATATCTCCACTTTTCAGCAATCTGTCAGTTTTCTGTTGCTGAACTTTTCGCATTATGTATCAAAATTTCCAGTTTATTTATTTTATTCTGCTCGTGTTTTGCATGTCTAAAATTGAGATTAGTTTAAATATAATCCGGTATTTATTTATTTCTAAGTTGGACTCTCCCTTGCATGCATTTCGTTGCTATATCATCTGTTCTTCTGCTATCATGCTGATGTCAAGTGTTCATGGTGCTGTTAACCAAATTGGAATTTGTTTGGAAAATTTCTAAACTGAATCAGAATTAACTGAACTGGTTGACAGGTGCAGTTTGTGTTGTTAACTCATTAATTGCTTCTTTTTTCATGAGATGGGAGGAAACCACTAGAAGGATAGTGCAGAGGATGGGTGTTGGTTCTGTGTCAAGAGAGTGTGTATATGTGTGTGTATGACAGAGAGAAGCGAAAAGAGGCTGATGACAGCTGACACTGGCCTGTTTGATGATGGTGCCATAGTTATTGGCCATGCCATCATCCTTGTGATTGCCGACCTCAAGCTTTTTAAGAACCTCAACTTCCACCGGTCTGCTCTGGACTTGTCCTCACCCCCACCGCTTCTTTTAAACTGACCTTTAGCTCAACACTCGTAGGAGCCTCAGTTGTCAGTGCAGGGTGCTGTCAAGGGTACTTGTTCAAATGGCACGTGCGCTGCTTCCTCAGGGTTCGGTGTGGCGGCTTTCCCAGGAAATAAACAGAAAGCAGAAAATGGTACAAGGTTTTGTATGGTTACAAATAGCAGCCGTACCATGATTCAATGGCTGTAAAACAGAAAAAAGGTGCAAGGATTTGTATGCCCATGTGCAATAACACAGTTGGTCAATGGGTGATAGTCATTTTGATGCTAGATTATCTTATAAATTTTTTATTAATAATAGTAGATGTAACTGTGCTTTTTTGTCTCTCTTCCTCATTGTATACTCTCTCAATTCTTATTTATCTTTTAGTTCTTTATAACCTACATATGCGCTGGTTGGTGTTGGTAAATGAATAGACCTTCTTTCAGGTATAAGTTTGATGATGAGCGTGTGACAAAAGAAGATACAAAGAGGGCAATTGAGGAACAGTATGGTGGTGAGGAGGAGGTAATTTGTCACCAAAATGGTTTTTGAGAACTTCTTTTTGTTCTTTTCCTATTGTTCTCTTTAATGTTTTCTTTCTTCCTAAGTGCAGTTACCACAGATAAATCCCGGTTTCAATAATACTCCATTCAAGTTTACAAAGTATTCAAATGCTTACATGCTTGTATATATTCGTGAAAGTGACAAGGATAAAATAATGTGTAATGTAGATGAGAAGGATATTGCCGAGCACCTTAGGGTAAGACTGCTGCATTACTTTTGAATTCCAGTAGCTGCATGTAACATATAATACTTGTTTTTCAGATAAGATTGAAGAGAGAACAAGAAGAAAAAGAACAAAAAAAGAAAGAGAAAGCTGAGGCTCACCTGTATACTATCATTAAGGTATGCTGGAACGTGCTTTGGTGATTTCCTCGTGTGCTTGTGTTCCTGGTGCCATCCATACTAAGCCTTTCTGAGTGCCTCTAGGTGGCCCGGGATAAGGACCTGATGGAACAGATAGGAAGGGATATTTATTTTGACCTGGTTGATCATGACAAAGTTTGCAGCTTTCGCATACAAAAGCAATTGCCTTTCAGTATTTTCAAGGTAATCTCTTTTAGGCGCCCACTTATCAAAGTTGATTCAGATCGATTATGGTGATTTATGGTAGTTTTCTTTTATATGTTGACTTTAGTATGGGTATTATTCTTATGCTTATTCACTATTAAATATAACTCTTGATATTTGATTGTTCATGGTACTCCTGCAATTCGCGTCCTAATAAATGCGTAAACTGAACATTTGAAAAACTTGTTATGTTCATGCTTAATTATGGATTCTACAGTCAGCTTGCCTGCATGTCATTTGTTTACCCTTTATTATTCTTTCTTTATGGCTTGGAGTTATGTTTAATACTTAAGTATGCTTGTTATAAACAGCAGCAACAAGAACAACAAAACTGTAAATCCCAATCATTTGAGGTCGGCTACATGAATCTTTTGCCGTCATGGAGTTATGTTTGTTATAAACATAAACCAAAATATTTGTTTGTTGTGGTTAGAAGTTAACCTTTCACTTCACGAGATGTTCCACAATTTGCAATATTGTTGATAATATTGGGACACATGGGTTTCTTGTTGTTAAATTAGATGTCAGATGCAACAGGCATGCTTATAACCCTATTTCAATTGAAATGATAATATGTACCAAATAGTATGCAGTAATGAGTTCAAGTAATGAGTATTCTCTAGGACCCTAATTTTAGGGCCTTCGTTTTGTTTAGTGTGATCTTTGTCATTAAACTCTTTAGATAAAGAAAGACAACTCATATATAATTGGTTATATTCCTCAGAGTGGTGTTTGGTAATTCAAAAACTCTTTATCTCAATTTCTCTTCATTTTGATGGCTCGAATGTAAGATAGAGATTAAAATGTAAAATCTTGTTATGATCTAGCACAGGCCTTGGTATCATCTAAAACAATTATCTCATTGGTCTTTCCAAAATAAAAACTATGCACATCTGCAATAATTCTTACTCCCAATGATGACCTACGTAAGTTATGGTGTTCTCCTCACTTTTCTGGATCATATGGCTGACTTTGTTTCTTGTTAATTCCTGAGGGTGATCAGATATGCACTTGAGCAAGTTCATTGTATGGTGATATGTATAAATTACTGTTTGTATTTCTCTGTGGTAACTTATCCAACAACAATATGGCTTACAGGAGGAGGTGGCGAGAGAATTTGGTATACCAGTACACTTCCAACGATTTTGGTTGTGGGCTAAACGACAGAATCATACATACCGTCCAAACAGGCCTTTAAGTCCTCAAGAAGAAGCACAATCTGTAAGCAACTTATTACTGGCACAAATTTTCATTTGAATCATAGTAAGAAAATCATGTCATGCTACATTCTTATAAATATTCATGTCTCTTTATAATGTTACAATGTGTTTTGTTGGTTCTTTCTTTGTCTTTCGCTGTCTGTGTCCCGGCAAGGCCCCAAGAGTGGGGTTTTTCTGTAGTTGTGCTTATTTGGTCTATGGTCTGTTTGGTTGCAAGGAAAAGGTGAAGTGTTCTTTACCAGAAAGCTATTTCCATGTGAATAGATTGAAGTTGATTGTTTATTGCGAGAAGGAATCGTAAATTAATTATCTTTTTCTCTTCCATATGGATCGAGGAAAATTTAGATGATATTCTCTTTAAATAAAAGCTGTTAGAATTTGGTGAGGTTTTCTTTTCTTGTACCAAAAAAATTCCAGTAAACAAAAAGGACTTTTTTCTATAAATCTGGAAAAAAAAAATTTAGATATTTGTTCTATTTTCCTGTCAAACAAACATTGTAATATAATTTTTTTTCTGGTGTAGGCAATTTTTTGTTCTCCATACAACCACACACCCTTAGCTAAATAAGATTGTTTTAGTTTTTGAACTACTTATGGATTGTTCATGTGAAACTCATATTTCTCATTTGTTTGTATTTGCTATGCATTTTTGCGCGTTTCCTGTCATAGTTACATACCTTGATCCATCTCATCTTTTCGTTTGTACTAATTATTTTGTCTCTATATGTATGTGTCCTGCCTCTCTAAGCATCACTCCAAAATTTTTATTGTGTAGGTTGGGCAGTTGAGGGAGATATCTAATAAGGCACAGAATGCTGAACTTAAGCTACTCCTAGAAGTAGAGCTTGGACCGGTAACGACTAGTGCTTCTTTAGTGTATTTGCACTTTCCAATGACCAAACAAATAGTTTCTTCTATCTTATCTTCGTTTTCAGGACTTGCATCCTTCTCCCCCACCTGAAAAAACTAAGGAAGATATACTGCTTTTCTTCAAGCTTTATGACCCTGAAAAGGAGGAGCTTAGGTACTCATTTATTTATTCCCCTTAATCAAATTTGTACTATATAACGGTAATTTGATTTTGTACTTTTAATTGTTTTGTGAATTTAGATATCTTGGGAGGTTGTTTGTGAAGGGGCTTGGAAAGCCAGCAGATATACTTACTAAATTGAATGAGATGGCTGGTTTTTCACCAAATGAAGAAATTGAACTTTTCGAGGTTATCACACATTTGAGGAACTAATTATGTCATTATCTTTGTGTATTAATGAATCTTCTTTTACTATATATGTTACTATTCATGTTTTTACTGCACCTATATTCCTAAACATTGTATTCATTAAAGTATTTTAAATTTTGTCTCAACGATGTTCAGGAAATAAAATTTGAGCCAAATGTGATGTGCGAACGCATTGACAAGAGACTTCCCTTTCGTTCTAGCCAGGTTTGTCTGGTGCATGGATACCGTGATTGCAAAGTTCCTGTTTTATGTATTGGAATTTTTGAACTTGGTTTTTTTATTGCTTGTAGCTGGAGGATGGTGACATTATATGCTATCAGAAATCCCCTTCACTTGGCAATAATGAGCCAATCCGTTATCCTGATGTTCCATCTTTTTTGGAATATGTTCGTAATAGGCAGGTATATGTTGATCATCCTTTGGTATCTTGTAAACAACCAAACATGCATCCCATTTGTTTTCTTCTGTGTTTACATTTAACTTTCTTTGTTTGTTATGATCCCAATCAATTGTTGCTATGCATATCTAGTGATTTGGTGGAAGATTTGTATTATTCGAATAATTTATGGGTTTGATCTCTAATAGCTTATTTACATATCAATATCAGGATAAGCAATTAGCTATACAACTTCATTTTGCTTTTGGAGCAAAATGATTGGAAATTTTAAGAAAATGTAAGCTGAATTAAATAAAGATGTCTAAAATAAAAGTAGTGCATATGGGGTGTCATGGCTATCCAATGCCCCTTACAATTACATACTAGGCTATATATGCTTTATTAGTTATCCAGTTGTACTGATTCATACCAAGGATTTTAATTTCGGTACGGGTGATACGTATCAGTCTGCCAGTAGACCAGTACGCGGATCGCCTGCTACCCGGTGATACCATCGATTGGGGTTGTGTCTGCCTCGTTACTGGTCAAATTCGATCCGTAACGATCGATTTCGACCATCGGTACCCACTATCGGATAGTATTAGTCGAGAGAGAAGGAAGAAGAAGGAGAATAAAAGGGAGAACCTGGAGATTCGGCATCGCTCTCCCTTGATGATCCCGATCCGTCGTCGCCCTCCCTCGTCGGACGCCGCAGATGAGATGTCACCTCCTCGTCTGAAGCGACGAGGCCTTTGTATCGTCCGCAACTTCTCGTCATCCACATGGGGAGAAGAAGCCTCGATTTCACGAGGAGAAGAAAATGAGGTTTCTTCTCCCCACACGGGGAGAAGAAACGAGGCGATGTCGCCCTTTTTTTTTTTACTTTTTATATTATATATATACCGAGCGGTATGTCAGAGTGTACTTCTTGGTACACTCATACCGTACCGAATCAAGTTGAGCTCGATACTCCTGTACGGTACGAAATTCCGAACCTTGGTTCATATCAGTCGGTAGTTACAATTAGACTAGAAAATGAGACACATACTAGATCATGTTGCGTGGTTTGGTTCGATGTAAGGTTTACCGCCCATTAACACTATCAAACCAGGCTAATTGTTGTTAAAGCCATGGGTGGCTGGCGGTAAGTCCACCACCCTATACTCAAATCAATCTTCTTATATTCTTTTTCATCTGTCTTGCTTCTTTCTCCACTTCCCTTTCGTCGTCGCTCCATTGCCTTGAAATCATTGCTCCATAACCTTGCTGCCACCGTCCTGTGTTGTTGGTTCATTGCCTCCTCAACCGCCAATATGCCTCCTACATCTCTTCCTCATCCGTTCCTCTTCCTCGACCACTCTTCCTTCGTTTTTTGATCTCTCTCCGCTTATCGTCCTCTTCCTGCTTTCTCCGTTTTTTGGGTCCAAGCGGTACTGTCTTGTACTTGAGTGACATACAGTTGTACATGGACCATAGGGGTTGTTACTCAGCTCGTACAAGGACCATAGGGGTCTGATTGCTGGCTGGTATTATCAATCGATCCGAATTATAAACCTTTGTACTAATTATTCGTAATGTCGGAAGAATTGATTAAAGTAGTTTAAATATATTCAAATGAGATCTATAATACATAGGACACAGTGTGGTGAGTTAATCCAGATGACTGATTACAAGGTGAGCAAGACTATAGAAGTGATGAAATAGGACTTTGATGCCTCTTGAGTTGACTATGCTAGTAAAACAATTGCGGGGAGGATTCAGGTAGTAAAAGCCAAACAGTCAGGTACCATGGCTTCATGTAGCATAGGCTTATATTTTGGAAAAGGTAATAACTTCATCATCCAAAATGTTCTTTATGAGCAATCTTTAAGAAAGCCTTGTCAGTTTTCCTCTTTTTTTGGTGTATATACTTGAAACCTGAGAAACCATTACCGTATTGTTTACTTTAATTGTATTGCTTGCATGCAGTCTGTTATCACATCAAGTTTGTTTTAACCTTGATTCTTTCTGCTTTTTGTTATTAATCATGTCATTGGCACAGGTGGTTCATTTTCGATTGCTAGAGAAGCCAAAGGAAGATGATTTTTGCTTAGAGCTGTAAGTAACCTCTATATATTAGTTTGTTTTTCATTGGATCGTTGTGTAATTGATTTTGTCTTATATAAATCTGTTCTCTTTTTTTATCTGAAGGTCAAAACTTGATACCTACGATGATGTTGTAGAAAAGGTGGCACGCCAACTTAGCCTAAATGATCCATCAAAAATCCGGCTTACATCACATAACTGCTACTCTCAGCAGCCTAAACCTCAACCCATCAAATATAGGGGTGTGGATCATTTATCTGATATGCTTGTCCATTTCACACAGGTTCTACATTTTACCTTTTCCCACTGGTCGCTATGTTTTTATTATTTTTTTCTTGTAAGTTCATGTTTTATATGATCTATTTGAATCTAATAGATTTGTTTTTCACAGACATCTGATATATTATATTATGAAGTGCTGGATATACCATTGCCTGAATTGCAAGGTTTAAAAACTCTAAAAGTTGCATTTCATCATGCCACCAAGGATGAGGTCAACATTTATTCCATGACTATTATTATATTCTTTAACATTTTCAACTTTGGAAACTATTTTAAACAAAATCTTCATGTTGGTTGCAATATTTAACCTTGTAAACTATTTGATAACATATACTAATTTTCCAGGTTGCAATTCATAGCATTAGACTACCAAAGAATAGTATTGTCGGTGATGTGATCAATGACCTAAAGGCAAAGGTGATGCAACTGTTGCACAATTTTATGGTTTTTTTCCTTGTAAATAAGAACAAGATGCCTTTACAGTACCAGTCATGCCAATGAATTATTTTTTTTAATATTATATAATTTCTAGCCCAGTCCATTGGACAAGCTGCATGCTTGAAATAAATAACAGCTTACAAGTTCAGTTTGATGAATGTTTGGCTTCACCTACCTTTCTGTTTAAGCAGGTTGAGCTGTCCCACCCTAATGCTGAACTTCGATTACTAGAGGTCTTCTATCACAAGATTTACAAGGTATTGTATTGCCTATGAACAGACTATTCTGTTCTTATGCACTTGCTTCTGTTGACACAGCAACTTCTTTTTTCCCTTCTCTGATCAGTTGTTTGTTTCTTCAATCATCACTTAAGAATCTACTTAGCCTTTGAGCTACTTAGTTGGAGGATGATGTTTCTTTGTCTCATTTGAATTTTTGGATCTTGGAGTAGTTTTTGTAAACAGTTGAAACTTTTTGGGTTAGCTGCATATGTTAATGCTAGGTCAAATTGTTATACCATTATTAATTAAACTTCTGACTTTTCTAGCTTGATAACCACCTTTTACTTTTCCATTTCAGATATTCCCACCTAGTGAAAAAATAGAAAACATAAATGATCAGTATTGGACATTGCGTGCAGAGGAGGTAAGTTGTAAGTCACTATGAGTTTTTGTTCAATGAATCTTATTGTTGGTACATATTTTACTGATCAAATGGCATGTGAAGTCTTTGGCTGAATAAGCATTTTAATCCCAAGATGAATCTACTTTTAATTATGATTTGTTTACTTTCATAAGTCAAGCTCATGAGAATATACATAACCATAAGTTATGACTTGTTTTAACAGATTCCAGAGGAAGAGAAAAACCTTGGCCCTCAAGATCGCTTAATTCATGTATATCATTTCATGAAAGATCCAAATCAGAATCAGATGGTGGGTAATCTTCAGCTTCTTCCTGCATTGATTCAGTTTAAGTTATGTTAAGAAAGCAAAGCAAGTTTAGGAGCATTTAAGTTGATTCTATGCATGGTGGTTAGATATTTTCAAATTACATTAGCAAACTCTTCTTGTTTTCACTCAAAACACGTTGTTCAATTCACTCCCTCTCTGCTTTTTTATTCCAATAATAATAGAGGTTTTCTGTTGTCATGAAGTTAGTGTTATTTGACTCAACTTTGTACCAAACATGTATGTCATCAAACTGACAGTTCTGCTATTTGATTCAACAGCAAATTCAGAACTTTGGGGAACCTTTTCTTCTGGTTATTCATGAGGGTGAAACTTTAGCTGAAGTGAAAGTACGTATCCAAAAAAAACTTCAGATTCCGGATGATGACTTCTCTAAGGTAACTTCTCGTTCAAGTCTCTTAACTGGATGCATTCTCAGATTTCTCTCAAGAACATCTGCTTGTTTATTTGTTTCCCAAGATCACAAAGAGCTGAGTACCTCATTTCTGCTTATGAGTCATGCTCACATATACCTCCTCACTGAAAAGATTTAAGCTTTCTCATTCTTTCGTTCCTTTTTTATTCAAGACAACAATGAAAGTGTGTGCTTCCCAGCAGCCTCTACTTTTTCCATTAATGCATTGACATGAATGATGCATTGAAAGGGAACTTGTTAATCTCCTAGTACTGCTTTACTTGACCATCAACATGAGTATAACACCTGCAACAAGCTGCCTGAGGCTTTCCATGGTTTTGAACTGAACTCAGGAGAACTTGGCTGAGCTAGGTTTTTGCATTGATTGTGTGCATCTTGCAAACTGATAGTTTATATTACAATAGGTACTCTCTGGGCGGGGCTTGAACTTGATGATAACCAGCCCACACCTGACCTTGATTTATTCACAAGGTTCAAACCTGCGCAGAGACCAAAAGAAAATTTGGTTCCAATTCACTCATGTCTTGACCAGCGCATCTTACTGGGTGCCTTGGCATAACCTATGACTAGGTTATTTGAAGAGCAGATCCAGCTTATTATATTTTTTGTTACAGTAAGCTGCTAGCTGCTAAATCATTGTGTCAACAATGTTGTTAGGCTCTGTATGTCTATCAAAATTTTTTATTGGTGAAAAAGGAAATATTCTATTTGTTGAAGTGCCACAGAAAGGGATATAACTACTATAAAGAGCTGGCATATAGAATACTTTTTCAAGTTCTGTTAGTAAAAGTGATTTTTTGATGCCTATATATCCCACATGGTACAACATGTTGGTGGATGGGTCGGAGTTTTCAGCCCAGTCAATAGTCTTCAAGCCAATGTTGTTTAACTTGGGGGCATAGAGGTAGCTTTGTTTTCCTTGTGCATTGTCTATTTTGTATTTTGCAGCCATGTAATATAATTTGATCAACTTTAAACGTAGTCTTCCGATAAAAGCTTATGCATATTGAGTGCTAAATATAAAAAATATTGCATCAGGTATGCAATTTGTGTTTATTATGAATTATTTACAAGTGCATAGAGTAACATGAGAACTTTTCAAATACTGCCATGGTTGTTATAGCAAATAAAAATAAAGCTGCACATTAGAGAGAAATGTTTCATGCATTGGGCCAGTGTAAAAAATTAACACCATGCCTACAGTAATTATTTTAGTATATGTTTATATTAGCTTTTAAAGTAGCCTCTGACGTGCTCCTGAAAGTTACTTTGAATGTATTTGCTTATTCTGGGAAATTGTCAGCTATAAATCTAACAATTATCTATTAATACAGTGGAAGTTTGCATTCTTATCTATGGGTCGTCCAGATTACCTGCAAGATTCAGAAATTGTATCTAATCGTTTCCAGGTTTACACCTTATACTTGCGACTCGTTCTTGTGACATTTTCATTAGCTGATTCAATAAAAATAACCATCTCACTTGTATGATCTTCGAATTGAATAGAGAAGAGATGTTTATGGAGCTTGGGAGCAGTACCTTGGATTAGAACATTCGGACACTGCTCCAAAAAGGGCTTACACAGCAAATCAGGTGAAGTATATTCTGTTATTTACGTGTTAATATTTAATACGAGCCATTATTATCTTGAAGTCTTTTTCTAACTTTGAGGAGTAGGTTTTTCATTTAGTTTGAGTCCCTATCACACAGCATGTAACTGGTCCATGCATGAGCCAGCATGTGAACCCAACATTTTCATTTGGTTCGATCCAGTATACAGGTTTACCTGGACAAACCGAGCTTACATCTTAATCTTTGCCCGTTGTTGGGCATAAATCCGCAGTCCAGCAACTCAAGCCTCAGAAGCCTTCACGTTGGGAGCAGTGAGCCCACTTTGCATCTCTCACACCATCAAGTGTGCATGCCTTGCGCTAGGCCGCTCACCCCTGGTTGTTGCCCTCACTCACTACCAAACAGAAAAATCATCATTCATCAATTTGTTGTCCTCCCACTACCTGGCCACTGCCACCACTTCTCTCCTCATTCTGGAGGTGGCGGCCAACAAAATTTCCTTCCTTTCCCTGTTGCCATCCCCCTCATAGGAAAGATCACCCTCCCTTGTCCCCCACCATGTGTCCTTCCTCTCATTGTGTCCCTTTTCGGCCTATCGCCACCACCTTGGCATTTGTCTCTTGCTGCCTGACCGCCCCAATGTGGACTCATGAGGAGATCCTTGCTCTCTTCATTTCCTACCCAGACAAGTGCCATGCCCTCTGCTGCAGCGACAGCCCTGCATTCCAATGGGAGGTTGTCGCTCATTGCAAACCTTTCCTGCCCATGTCCTCCATCCAATGCTTCCACAAGGTCGAGCAGCTCCACAAGCGCACCGAAGCGAGCGCCATAGGTCCCTCCAGCTCGAACCCTCATTTGCACCCACCTCTTATGTGGTCTACTTCATCAAGTTGGACTCCATGGAGCTAATCTGGCCGGTCCAGACCAACTAGACCCATACCGCTCAGTGTACCAGCATATTGTATCTTCTGCTCAGGGACCGGCATGAATCCAATAACCAAAATTTTGAACCATGATTCAAACAGTACAAAATCACTAGAATTGTGATTGTGATTAACATTGATACTGAGGAACTCTAGCAAGTCTAGATATGTGGTAGCTCTTTTTAATCTGACAGAGAAAATGTTGCGATATTATTTATTAATGTTTTACACTGGATTAGATCATAGATTTTCTCTGTGAGGTGCTTCAACATATAACAGGGATTAGATTAATTCAAGCTTCTCATCAAGTTTAAAAAGGGACTTTGATTTTATTACTGAACTTATTTGGTAATGCAACTAAAGCTTAGTCACTGGTTGCACATGTATAGAAGACAACTTGAATGTGCATCTCAGTGAAGGAATACCAAGATGAAATTTCTTGTTTTGTGATGACGACAAACAGATGCTCCTCGATTCCTCTCAAATACCCAGCCTCTTGTTTCTGCCTAGGATGATTTCCCATTTTATGGTTTTGCAATATTAGATAATTGTTTTTAATTTGTCAGGTTATTGTAAATGTTTGTTAAAACAGAAAAGCATCAAACTTTGAAGTTTTTCCCCTCTGGGTAGGATCAAATTTCAACTTTGATTTGCTTATGTTGTTTCACCATATGCAGAACCGTCATACTTTTGACAAACCAGTGAGAATCTATAACTAAAATGTGGTCAGACACATATATTGTGTTTATGCCTTGAAGAGATGCCATTTTCCCTGGTCAATCAAGTTCATGATAGGAGAGGTCTAAACACCACACTGATCCTTGATTCAAAAGCAGCAAGCCGTTCCTTTTGTTATTTACATTCCCAGGCTGGTTGAGGAAAGCGTACGGAGCTCCTAAATTTCATTTTGGGTTTTTGTCCTTATTTGCCATGGCCACCACCTGAACAGCAGTTGGCTTGTTTCTAGTGGAATATAGTGCATAAAGAAGATTTTGTATTAGGAAATGTTTACAGGAGGTATATCTGTTCCTACTAGTCTGTTGATTCTAGCCTCTGCTGTTTGTCTTCTTTTCTATTAAAGTTGGGCAACATGGGGTTGTATATTGTGGTGATTACTGTTCATAGCTGAGTTGAACAGTTACTGTAAGATTTATATACCCCCGCTTTGCCACCTATATTATTAGTTGTTTCATTCATGCTATAAAACTATACCTTGTTTGATTACTGTCGTCTGATTGAAGTATAGTCAGCTAGTTTAGGTTGGGTTGTGGTTCAAATGCCCGTTGCTGGACATTTGCTCCTGTTTCGAGCATGGAATTTGTTGGCTGGCATTTTTCTCTTAAATGGGTTATCCTTCGACTTTGGTTTCTCTTTTTCCTATTATGAACTGTTTAACTTGCAAATGAAATTGTTTCATGTTCCGTAGTGCTCCAGAGTATTTGGCCACTTACCATTAGACGGGAATTGGCCACTTACCATTAGACGGGAATTGCACACGCAATCCAAATCGGATTCTCAAACGGCGACCACTATGGATCAGTGTTCCCTACGCTTACGCTTATAAATCATCACAAAACTCGAGGAAGCATCTGCAACAATTTAAACCGAGTTATTTGATTACAGCCTTTACGACAACATGTGAAATTGCATAAAGGCACACAGGAGACTGACGACAAATCAACGATCAAGAGTAGGAGACAAGTCTAATCTAGTATTGTCTATACAAGGCCGCTTTCAGGGTGCTAGTCAAACTCAAATGTCAACGATATTTCTTCACGATCCTTGTTTTAATGCCCCCTGCGAGAAACCAAAACCCTCGATGCAATTAGATTTCGTTTTTAGTAAGCAAACACGTGGCTTAGTAAAAGAAGAAACATCCATCATTAGATCAACAACCTAAACAAGCTGAGTTAGGAACTGCAAGCTAAATTCTAAATTCAAAAGAGTTTTCTTTTTGTTCATGTTTGAAAAAAAAAATCTAAATGCAGAAAAAGCCTATTGATGGTAGTTATGCCTATGGGTTAATAAAACATAACTAAAAATGATGCTATTTAATATGGGATGGGATTATATCACAACGATGAGTGAAATTTCGTAGAAACAAATAATTTATTAAAAATCTTCTCTCTTTTTTTTTTCCCCAATAAGAGAACTTGAGTTATAGCATTTGCTTTGTTGTATGTCTTGGTCTGCAAAGGTGACTGTAATCGGATGGTCGGTTTTAACATGTTGCACAAGTATCTGGATAGACTAGGGACCACCAAAGTAATCCTATTTGACGTTAGCATAAAATCAATTAATTGCAGGTAGGTAGATAGGTAGATATGATCCACCTATGAATGGGGTTTCTCTTCGATGCTGTATGTCATACTACTACCTACTGCTCTCGTGCTAAAGCCAACTAATCTTGTAACTAATGCATATTCATTTACCTGAATGATCCTTTCCTGAAACTTCCAGAAGCACAGATGCATATTCATTTTTAAAGTGCAATTTTAGCTTCAGTTTTCACTCGGATATGTTCCAAAACGTAAAGTAAATGACTGACCGTCTACTTCCGCAAACCGAACTTCCTTCACCATGTCAGCAGCAGCACGATACTCGAACCTGCCATTCGCAACAACCAAATTACTGTATGCATATTAAACAAAGAAAAATTAGAGGGAAAAGCAAGTTTTTCTTAAGGTCCATTTAACCTGAATTTTCAAAGAATATCTAATATGAGCTCTGTGATAAAGTAGAACACTTGGTAAACAATGATCGTTTCGCTTGACTTCACAGTCTAGAATGTTAACCAGTGGCTTTTAAAAAGACATGCCAGAAGACAAACATATAAAAAAAATCCAAATGTCTGCAGATAAAGAGGATAAAAAGTTGTCATTTGTGAAACGCGAAAACTCAAAACAGGGGAAGAAAACTAAAAACAACCATACAAATGAAAACAAAAGAAACGAGAAATAATGTGCACCGACGGACTGATAGCTTGCATGCATAGTAAACTATTAAACAGTATCTTTTCTAAGATCTCTGGACCCTTGTTTTCTGAATGTGAACACTCTTATCATCGTCTTCAATACCAAATTTCTCTCTCATTTCCATTATGAATTTGGAACCAGTATAGAAGTCTAACTAGTTATTCTATTGTAATGTAGATGGGTTATTAGAACTCTTTCAAGGTAACATTGGTAATAAAATCTTGGCAGAGGAGATGAGAGCCACAGTCTTTAAGTCATCTTCCTTTCCTACTCCACGCACAACAATTCTGCTGATATTCACAGGAAGTTTTATGTGAGGGTACAACAATTCTGTTGATATCCCCACAAAGTTTTATGTGACAGCATGAGATTCACCATGTTATAGAAGTATATCACATTGCAAAGCTCGATGTGTCAGATTCTAATGGGAAAAAGTACCTCGGAACTTTTCTGAAATCACAGCATCTAGTAGAAGGGTACCTTGTTTAACTATGAGAAATTTTTGAGGAAATGTTCAAACCTGATGGCCTAAACATCAACAGGTTAATGGCACCACTATTCAAACTTAGACATTAAAGCGAATATAAGTTAAGTTGTTCCTTTAAACTAGAAGCAAACGGTCCACATGCAATTTACCCCCCTACTACAAGAAAGCAAGGTGATCACTGAGTGCATATGCAACTTCACAACATTGCCACTGTCTACTCTTGGGATGAGGATCTCATTGTCCCTTTGTAGGCCTTGATCATCAAAATTAGGCAAGATTAGCTACTAATAATATATTACTTTGGCCAATGCCATGTAGATGCCTGATGACCGACCAAATTAAACAGTTCAGGAGAAGAGCATTCCCTCAGAACTTGTGTTCCTAATTTCTCCTTGCCAAATAGGCCTTTAGTAGAAGTAAATCTACAGTCCATAAACCATCTACATCTTCAAAAATATGCTCACAAAGAAAACTGTTGGTGGGTTTAGAGCAGGTTCCAAATCAAGAATTTGTCCAATGCTAAACATGCAAAGGAGTTGGCCTCTTTTTGTGTAATTTCCAAGTAGAAGGAACATTTAGTTGCCAACTCTATCCCCTTGCCAAAGGCCAACAAAGATTATATAAAGATTTGAAACATTGATTACCTTATTTTATTGCCATGAAAGATATAAAAGACAAACCTGATAAACAATGTGCCTTCATTCTAGTTTGCACAACCACGTTGGATGTGACTAAGGACAACTACATCAACAACAAAAACAATAATTTTGTCTGCACATATCCATAGTTCGAAGTCTCAAGTACTGGACTCATGTAAGTTCCTGACTAGACCAATACGGATCTGATTCATATCAACGTACTGGCATATGATATACCAGCTGCCACCAGCGAGCGGGCCTATAGGGTTAGGGCACAGGTCTTGGGGACCCTGAATTGGAATAGCCTATAATTGGCTGGTCAATGACCTGGGGATCTCCATTAAACCCAGTATTTACCACCTAGCTCATACCGGTCCAAACAGTTTTTCAAATCCAGTGTATATATTAGCTACCAGGCTGCCCTACCTATGCTGCAGATATAGAATACCAACATCAAGATATTTTCACATATCTATTTCTGAGTCATTAGTATTTGAGAAAAAGGCTAATCTAACAGTGGTGTTCTATATTGCTATCCAGAAAAAAAATTGCTTCATATAACAATACTGTAGCAGAATAGAGAAATATCATCGAAAACAATTGTGCAATATCTGATTTTTGCCATTAATCACATAAATATACATCTATATTTATTGTAAGATACACAGCTAACAACAATGTAGAATATCAATTACCAGGGTGTGGTGAAATAAAGGAAACTGGACAATATTCATTCCAACATCCATAAAAAAATGGCATGCTGTTGTAAGTCATGCTGATAAACTGGTACATAAGGCACAAGATCACAAATAATAAGAGATAAAGTTGACCTTTATAATTACCAACATGGTAATCATCAGAATGCATCTGGGGATTTAATGAACTTAGAAAGTATCCGATGTTTTAATGAATCAAAATGACTGAAAGTTATGCATTAAATATCTGTGTGTCCTTCCGTGAGCAAAGAGTGAGACAAGAGAAACACATAGACACAGAAAAGAACTTGCTGAAATAGAGGAAACATGCAAGTTCAAAATAAAATCAGGAAACACAAAGTATTCTATTTTCAAAAGACAAAGTGAGCAAATTATCATTATTATCATAGTTACCTATTGGAGAAAACCACTCCAATCTCATATTCTGATCTACTTTTGGAAGCTTCAACGAGGACAGTAACAATTTCTGTTTTCCTGGTGCTGGCCATAAGACAATCATATTCACTTGGAACAATGACCGCAAAGAAGTTATCACTCAGCTTGCTCAAACATATCTTATCGATAGATGCAAGCATAATTCGTCGTTTCAATACATCAGCATCTGGATCAACAAGATAGATAGCAGAACCCGTAATCATTAATATACACCGCTTCATCTTTCCAGTGCCTGTACACTTCAAGACCTTGTCAGCAAATAGAAGTGTCTCATCTCCTGCATAAGTCGAAGTTCTTCACATGAGTGAGACACGACATTCTACTTGCCTTGGTGTAAAAACTAACAGAGTAAGCTATTCATGTAGGAACCAGTTGGAAACTGTTATTAGAACTTTAACTAGTATAATTAGTTTAGTTAAGCTATTCACATAGAAACCAGTTGGAAACAGTCATAAGAAATTTAATTAGTATAATTAGTTTATCTAAAAAAAAATCTTGCTTTCAATACCTGTTGACCACTCCATTAAGGAACCCGGTCGGCATGATCATGAACAATCGAACAAGATATTCATATTCCTATTGCTTCTGTTTGATGCTCGACTAAAAAAGCAAAGTTTGCGGGCACTCATTTTATTATCCTATAATGAGACAAATGTTATGAAAATGATATAACCACTTCTTTTTGTTGAAGAAAAAGGTGGGAAGATCCCACCTTCTCTCTATATATGAATAAAAATAAGGATTAAATGTCACTAAAATCAAACAATGATCTCAGATATCGAAGATGTAATGCTCAAACCTAGAGAACAATAGAACAGGAGAACCCATATAGAAACAAAATTCACACCCCCAAATATCCTTGATGTAGTTAATGGTCGGTGGTCATCACATCCTCGATGGATATTAGATCTTTCGGAATCACATGGAAAAACTTTCTTGATCTTATTTGTACTTGTAAAACCTTTACTGACCA